ACATCTAACTCACCGGTTCATCTAAAATTTTCGAAATCCTTTGGTGAGGTTTAATATTTTTCTTCTCTCGCAGCAAAAGGTATACTTTGTCTATTTTCGGACATTGATATAATAACTTTTCTAAAAGAACCTGCATTATAAACCAAATATCTTATATTCATACCTTCATAAAATTAAATCGTAGTAGGATAAAAGTTCTTAGCATTTTTTATTGTGTCTCTAAAATGCAAATAATATTTTTAAATATTTTATAATTTTCATCCAATTCTAGCCATTAGCCGATTGTTTTTAAAAAAATATTATAAAACTCATAATATTATGCTTATTTACAGAAATTAACACACAATTAATTACCATACAAAAGCAAACACAGCACAATATATATATATATATACCCTCGCTTCACTTGGGTTCGTCTCTAGGTACGTTTTAACGGTTAGTATAGAATAGATAGACTATATATTATATGACATATAGCCTTCCTCAATAAACGGGCTATCTACTACAAAAATATTTTTTTTAAATCGGATTAGTAGTTTCTGATTAGTAGAATCTGAGATTAACGCGTTCAAACAAACAAACGAACGAACGAACAAAGAAACAAATTACTCTGCCCCTTTATAATATTAGTATAGATTATCAAGTTGAAATTCATTAAACTAGTAATTCTTACAAGCACGGGCTAGTAATTGTACAACAGTCTAATATTTTAATCAATAATTTCTTTCGAAAAACAAAACAAGCTTTTGGTTTCAAGAGATATCACTTGCATTGTTAGCTGACCCTCACCGGCTTACCTAAACACACTAATATAAATGCACGAGTGAACCAAGTGTTATATGGAAATACATTAAATGACTTTCCTTCCGGTATTCCCATGGTAGTAATGCTATAACGGATAGGCATCCCATAGAGATATATCTTGCAAAACTTTTAATGCAGACATTATGTTACTTTAAAATATAGTTGTACTAATAATTATGTACCTATTAAAAAGTTTAATTTTGTAATTGATTTTAATTAAGAAAAAACGATGTATATGAATTATTAATTGTGTCATTTTTTTTGAAAGTTAGGTCGATGGAAATTGGCTTATAATTTGGTCCTTCAACATTGATACGTATTAGACCTAATGAATCACTTCAAAATGGTTAAATGTAATATTTTGGAACATATTAAAATAATTACCTTTCCAACGAATCCCGTGCTGCCAGTTATAAGAAGAGACTGTCCTTCATAGCATTCTGCTACACTAGTATACTTTTTGCGTGAAGACGCATAAAAAAGCGTGAGACGAGAACGTAGCATGATAAAATCTAATAATAATTCTAAAACTAATTTTAAATGTATTTTATTTACAATTCTTAATGAAAAGCAAAATTTTATAAATTATACAATTAGCTTCAGACAATACACAGGTTACTTTGTTCGTACAAGACTAACCTATTCTTATTTTATTAACAATGAACGTATTTACATCGCAAGACTTCTTTTATATCCTCAAAATACGTATTAACATTAGGTATGGGCCGAAATTCGTTTTACATTCGGTTTAACCGAATTTCAGCTGCTTGAGCCGTACTTCGGCATTCGACCGAAGTTCGGTTTAAATGCCGAACATCCGGCAATAGAAAAAACTACCTACTTGCACTATTTTGACTGAAATTAATAGAGAGCATGTCTGCTATAACAGTAGAATAAAATTAAGTCTTTTATATGGCTCATTAGTCCGATGGGAATCCAGTTTGGAAACAAAAAAATTAAAACCTGAAGTTGTATATCTTCAAAACGTTAGCAGGTATATAAGGAACAAAAATTCGTAAAATGTCCCCGATGTTTAGCTACCCCCGAGAAATATGAGGATGAAAAGCGTTGAAAAATAGTGGTTCTTTTTTCAATTTTCGGCTTACTGTGACGTCCTATCGAAAAATGTTCTCTACAAAAGTTGTAGGTCTGTAAAAATCTACAACACATGACACTTTTTGCAATAACCTCTAAGTTTTCGAGATATTTTGTTTTTCAATTTTTTCTTTATCTTCCGTCCTCGATGTGTATCAAGAATGAAAAGTTGTTTTCTAAAGTTTGTTGAAGCGGCTTACTTCTTTTGTAATTTTTTTCTCTTGTACTAATTTATAGTAGAATATGATTCTGGTACTCATTAAGCCATTGGTACCAAATTTATTACCCAAGTTTCTATCACTATTTATCTATTAGCAAGTGTCGCAACCTTGAATTAACCAAACAGCGTGCATTTCTACTCGCCTCCCCCGTACCGCTTAACTCAGACTTTTGACTGACAGGTTTGGATGCAGAAGTACATATAATTAGGCGTCCATTCGGGTTGAGTAGTTGTTGATATATATATATATGTACACATTGTAATAATTATAATAATAACAGCTAAAATTAAATAAATAATATTCCATATTCAATTATAAAACTAATTAAAATTATAAAAATGTTCAAAGTTAAAAAATATTGTAAGGTAAATGGTGCAATTTTCATTTTGTTAATTGTGGGTAGGCTGTCTGTAACAACTACGAGTATAGCTTCGAGACATCTAACACCTCATTCTCTCCCGTGACTTACCTATGAAAAGTGATGGCATTTTTCATAGGTAAGTGAATACTACTACTATTTCCACACTATTTTATTGTACAGGGAGCCATGTTGCGCGAGTCTGTTGTATTTTTTGTGTCGGAAATTCACGAATCTCAATCAATGTGTTCTCGGGTCACGGATGTGGTCGCTGCTGAAGTAAATCGCGCGATCGTTTTTTTAAGTAAGACGTATTTGTCTAACGAGTTGACTGAAAGTGTTCGCCTTGCGTGAGGTGTCTATTCGGGCTGAATAGTCATTGATATATATCGTCAAAGTCGGAAGGCTTATTATCTAAAAATTAAGCGATCAACGAAAATTGTGCAGTCATTGCACAGAAGACAAAAATAATCGTATTACGTAAGCGATGGCTAATCAAACTGATCTTCAAATACAGTTTTCACCAAGTAACTAGCGCCACTAACAATTTGGTAGCGATAATTGGAACTAAAAACGTACCAACTATACTAATTATAATATTTTATTTTTATTTTTCGCATTATGTGTAATGACACTTTCCTTTTTTTATTTATTAGTCAAAAAGTAAGTATAGTTCAAGTTTTGTCTTACTTATTTTCTTCTTCCATATCCATACTTTCATACTTAATATTATAAATATGAAAGTGTGTTTGTTTGTTTGTTTTTTTGTCCTTTTAACGGAATAACTGATTGTCGTGATTATTTGTGTGGAGATAGTTGGAGGGCTGGAGAGTGACATAGGCTACTTTTTACCGAGGGAGATTATCTCATTCCCACGGGAAAACACGTTATACGACAACCCAAAAAAATATTTATGATCAGAATTACTAGAAACGTAGTATAAATTCTCTTCAATACAATTAATTATATACGTGTTTTAGCATTTTTCGAGATACATCGCATAAGGGGATAAAATAGGGGATGAAAGTTTATTTTTAGAGTTTTTTTTATAGTTCAGGGTGAGCAAAGCCGCGGGTTCTGCTAGTAATACTAATATTTCACATATATGTGCGCTTATTTTTTAATCTATGTATTTATAAATAGGCAACGGCAAATAGTTCAATATCTTTTCCCTTTGCGTTTGTCAACCGATTTTCTTTTTTTTTTTGTAGTTATTGACATGAGCATTTATAATCAGATATTTCAGAAGTTGGTGCCAGCCGACAAAAATTTAAGATATTATGAATATCTAATAGGTTAATACGATTAGGTATGAACTCTAACTATAGTTAAAATATTATACATCAACTTGTAATGTATTTTACGTATCGAAATATATTAAATTTGCTTTGCATCGGCTGTTACCGACTTCGAAAATTAGGTATCTATTCTAAATAAAAACTCCCGTTTATTTTTTTTTACAATTTAGTGCCTTGTAGTCGGTTTTTTTAAGTTTTTAACTTAAAATTTGGTTGATTTTCATAACCGTAAATAGTAGAAGTATAAATGTACTCGTAGTCTTTGAATATTTTTGCAGTTTCGTCATCATTAAGCTATTAGCTAGTGTATAATCATATTTATACCATGTTATCTAAGTTCAAAGAACGCATGACCTTTGTACTCGTAGATAGGCAGTTCTTGTTGATTTTCATTTAGTCTGTTTATCGATAAATTTTTTACTCTATAACATCTTTCCTCCTTACAGTGGTTTTCCTTTCTAGAGATTGTACTGATCTCTTCACTTGCATCTCTAAGACCACTAATTTATTATATTGATACTAAGTATGAAAAATTATTTTACTTAGTTTCAACGAAATTAGCGATATAATTTTCCTCAACCCGGGAGACATCCAAAATTTATTTTCATTTACTATATTTACTATATTTGTGCTTACACGTTTGTTTTTCTATCTATACATATAAAAAATTGTAACTAAGCTGAATCTGTACATTAATATATTTTTTTGGAAAATCTTATTGAAATAGACATTATTATCGACACAGAGGCCGAATCTATAGTTTAAAAAAAAATTGTCTGTCTGTTACCGCATCACGGAAAAATCACTGGAAGAATTTTTATGAAATTTGGTATGATGATAGCTGGTTATCCGGGTCAAGATATAGGATACTTTTTACTGGAGGAAAATATCTCATCTTTGAGAAGCCTATACTAAACGTTAAAACGTAAGCAGGGACAAACCCGAGCGGAGCGAGGGTGAGTCGCTAGTTACTTATAAATTTACATATTACTGACTTAAAATGCCCTTTCGATATAAATATATATAAACTATGACTGAGTATTGACTTCCGGGAAGAAACTAGATATATATGTGCTTTTGAAGACTGAATGTCATATAAATTATTATCAATAATTGTAGGAATCTAATATATTATCAACCAGTGGCTTTGATAACCTAACGTGTGATACACATAATTATTATATTCTAAGTTCTCTCACTTTGAGTTAAAAGTGTTATATTATAATGGTTAAGCTTTTCATAATCTTAGTTACATTACTTATTTTCAATGTTGGTGCTGATATATGCAATAGAGAAGAGATAGATTCAGGGTTTCTAGATATAATTAATGATGATGTTGACAATAATCCTGATTGCAATGAAAATGAAGATATCTTTATAGGTAAATACTATTATATAATACTTATATAATACTTTTACTGCCTCGGTGGTGTAGTGGCTAGCATGTACGGCTGCACACCCGGAGGTCCTGGGTTCGAGTCCCGGGTCGGGCCAAGTTTAGTTATTGAGTCTTCCTGTATAGTTAGTCTCAGTAATAGTCCGGAGTTGGGAAGTTGGCGGTGTATCACCCCCGTGCCTCGGAGAGCACGTAAAGCCGTCGGTCCTGCGCCTTAACTCTCACCGGTCGTGTCTAGTGGTCGTCCCACCGGAGTATGGGAGTGATAGGAATAGAGAGTGCACTTGTGTCTGCGCGTACACTTGAGCACTATAATATCTCCTGCGCAGTTGGCTATCTCATTGAGATTGGCCCCCATGGCCGGAATCGGCTAGGAGAACATCATAATACTTTTTAGCTATGCTATTCCAAAATTGTACAGCAGTAATGGAGTGTTTGGACACCTATTCGATTTCTATCCACAATATAGACCATGATAATGATAATAATAATTGTTTATTTGCTAGAAATACGTGTACAAAATAATAGATTAGAAGTAAGACGTAAGCAATCATGATCGATATTAGTGTATAGAGTGCTAATTTAAAATGACAGTAAGTATAATAAGAAAGAAATATGTTAAGAACTAGCAGAACCAGCGGCTTCGCTCGCGCTAAAATTACAAAAAAATATTCTATAAATGTAAGTTTCATACAAAATTTCATCCCATATTTCACCGCCATGAGGAATGAATTTCAAAAAAATGCTAAAACATGTATTTAATTTTAAGTTTCAAGTAATTATGATCATAAATATTTTTTTGGGTTGTATTATGAGTACATGGGAATGAGATAATTTCAAGCGGTAAAAAGCAGCCTATATCACTCTCCAGTCGTCCAACTATCTCCACACAAAAATTCTCGCCAATCTGTCACTCTGTTTCAACATGAAAGAAGGACAAACAAACCCACTTTCACATTTATAATATTAGTATAGATTATTAAAAATAAAATAATATTGACTGTTAAATAGAAACTCAGTGATGAGTGTATAAAATTATGGTTTTTTCTTTACAGTAAAAAATTTTTTTGTTAGTATTCAATGAATAACATCAAACACATTAAATAGCATCATGTCTATCCCTCCACGACCGCGGACACGCCGGCGTTACAGTTAACAATAGATTTCTTAGAAATTTAATTAATTTCTTAGAAATTTCTCTTCTTTAGAAAATCTGTTAGTTTAATGTTCATGGTAAACTTTCATTTGCTATCATTCTTTTAATATAATATGGTCAAATATGTAATAGCAATAATCTTGATTATTATACTAGTTTGCCTAGTGCTTGAAAGGTCATTATCATTATTATGGAAAATTTGAGGAAAACATAATATCTATCTATCTATTTAATATAGCTAACTATTACTAATTTACAGGTACTATTTATAAATTGTGATACTTGAAAAAAAAATGCATGTCTATCTCAAAAATATGTTTAGAAACTTTAGTGATGATATATTTTCATATTTTGATATTTCAGAAAGACAGCCCACTTTTTCGGATGGTATGTGGAGATGTGGGGACTGTTCCTGTATTGATGAATCGAAACTCTTATACGAAGAGTATTTTGACGTTGACACAAATAATTACTTAGGTCGAAGATTGAATACACAGGTAAGATTAAATTTTATTGGGCAGTAATTACACGCTTTAAATATTTTTATCTTAGTTGTCTCCAACGTCAATTTTGTTTCAATCAGAGCAAACTAATAGCTTTTTATTTTAAGCAAATATTTAGTTTGTTTGAACACGTGTTTGTATTGGAACTGCAATTACATTGCAAGACAAATTTTGTCCTTAAAATAGAACTATAGTAAAGACAAATCTGGATAATCTATATTGATTAAAATATATTAAGTTAAAAATATCTTATACTAGGGACGAACCCTCGCTCCGCTCGGGTTCGTCCCTAGTTACGTTTTAACGTTTAGTATAGATTTCTCAGAGATGACATATTTTACCGCAGTAAATAGTATCTTATATGTTGACCCGGATAACCAGCTATCATTATACCAAATTTCATCAAAATCTGTCCAGTGGTTTTCTCGTTATGTGGTATCAGACAGACAGACAAAACTTCTAAAAACTATAGATTCGGCCTCTGTATCGATAATAATGTTTATTTCAATAAGATTTTCCAAAAAATATTTAATGTACAGATTCGGCTTACTTACAATTTTACTTTATGTATAGAGGACAGTAGCTTATATAGATATAGCTTATATTAACATTAAATTACGTAGATTCTAATTAAATAACACATATAGTGGTACTGAAATAACTTGTGTTATGTATTGATAATTTTCTTTGATTTCATTACAGATCGGATTTGCTTTAAATAATATGCGATGCATTACGATTAAGACCCACCAGCTTAATATCGTCCGTCGTGTTACCGGCTCGTGTTTTGGCAACCAAGTCACTTTGAGAGTTCTATCTCCGTATTGTCAATACATTAAAATATATGGGTAGTTAATAACTATATGGCTTCTAAGCGAATAAATAAAGCAATCACGCATTTTAATTATAAAACAGTAACAACTCACAATCGCTTTGTTTCGGGATCGTCTTTAGACAAAAACTAACCTTTACCACGGGAATCGTAAATTTTTCTGGGATAAAAAGTAGCTAATTTGTTATTCTGATATCTGAGCTATATTATTATAAAGTTTCATTAAAATCCATTTAGTAGTTTTTGAGTGAAAGAGTAACAAACATCCATCCATTCTCATACATTTTTACATTTATAATAATAGTATGCATGGGATTAGATTTTTTTTATATTTTTCTTAATGCTATATACGCTTCTTAATGCTATATCGCGGTGTAAGAGTCAAATGAACGTATATACATTTTCTCAATTTTACAGGAGAGCAAAAATACTGGGTAAAATCGCCACTTCAAACTTTACCAGCTTTTTATTAGTGATAATATAGAATTAACGAAAGAAAAAAATATTTTGATATATTGGCATACTATTAGAGCTCAGAAATAGTAAAGATTTATTTATTTATACAATCTTGCATTGACACAATATTTTTTTTTTTGAAATTCGGTTGACATACGTTAGTGTGGCCCTTACATTTTTTTATTTAATTTATAAAAAAGCTTGTGTCAATAAAACGTAAACAGATAAACGTTGTTTTGGATCTTTAAATTTAGAATAAAAACACAATCTTGTAACACCCAAAACAACGTATAAGCTTTTACGTTGATATGGTTCGTGCATTATATTATGAACAAAACAATATTCTACGATTAAAAATATTGTTTTTACAATTACGTTCCTATAGCTCTAACTGGTAATAAGATAATTAAAACTAATTTAGCGGTACTCATAATACGTTTTTCTGGTTCTATTGAAAGTGGTTCTTATGCTATTTCGTTTTTTGGAATTTGTGAACTATTGACTTTACCACACTGTGACTCGTTTTATGAAAAAAAATGATTTTTTTTGTAGATACGTTCATCTTGTTCTTATACCGCGATATAGGCAGTGGTATCCCAGTGGTAGCGCGCTCTTTTGGGAAACTCAGTGAAGCGGGTTCAAATCCCGGGTCTCACACCTCTGATATTTTCATGTGCAAATCATTTCTAGCATGATTACCACTTGCCTTACGATGAAGGAAAACATCATGAGGAAACCTGCATGTCTGAGAGAACTAATAAGTTTTCGAATGACGAAATTTGCATGGCATCATCTTATTGCAGAGAGATGCTAGTAAATAAGTTGGGGTTTAACTTAGAAAAAAGTAACAATACTTAATCTTTATATAAAAATACGTTCATGGTGTGATTTTACTATTTTTTACGTCTTATGAGGGCTATATGTAAGTTCTACATGTGTTCACTTAGTTCTTTGTATTATATTTTATAGCACATTCTTAAATTATTGTTACAATACATAAATATATTTGGTGTAATGTAATTAGTTCAAAAACATGCGATATAAATCAACCTTTTTAATTGTTTTATTTATATTACCCTAGATTTGTTGGTATAATAATAGTATTATATGATCTGTGGTACAATTTTCGTGGCGGTTTCTTTTTTAAGGTCCCATATCTACTAAAATTTTATAGATATTATGTTTTTTGTGAATCGCACAAAAAAATATATAAAAAACTTTTTACCAAAAAATAAAAACCGACTTCCAGGCACTAAAATGTAAAAAATAACTAAACGGCGGTTTTCATTTAGAATAGATACCTAATCAGATATTTTCGAAGTCGGTGCTAGCCTACAATATTCTAAGATCATATCGAAATGTATTAGATTTGCTTTGCATCGGCTGGCACCGACTATATATATATATATATATATATATATATATATATGCATACATACATACATAGGTACATAATATATATATGTAAATTAAAAATTGTACTAAATTTATTACCATACTTTTAACATTAATATTAACAATACATTAAACTAAAAAAAAAAAAACCTTAAGTATATATACATAATATAATAACTAAAAAATATTATTAAAAGGAGTCCCTTTAGGCAAGGTTCCGAAGATACTGGCAGCGTTCCCCCTTTATATATATATGTACATTGTACATACTCGAACATTATACTCCTTCTGGAGCAGACGGATACAATTTTTTTTAATATTATGTTAATAGGTAATATATTACTATTAAAGTAAATTACTTATATCTATATAAATAAAAATGAGTTACCGAAATGTATGTACGCGCATAACTTTTAGATATTTTTTTTTGTGTTTGTTATTATCAGAACAAGCTTTGTATAGAAGAAAATTAAAAGAAAAAAATTTAGTTACATAAGTTTTTTTTAAATCTTATGATATGAAAAGTGAGTGAGTGAAATAGTTTTCATCCCGGAAATCATCCCTTAAAGGGGTGAGAATGGCCATGAAAGTTTGTTGGAAGCAAGCTAGGGAAGAACGTCAAGCGAAGCGAGAGCGAGTCGCAATATTCGTTAAAGCTTACGCTCAATTTTAACTCTAGCAAGTAACAACATTGTAATTCATTATTGAAGCGATCTTGGATACATTGCTTAGAATACAATGTCTATTTTAAAATTATCTCAATACCGAGTTACAATGTTTCTCTTTGCAGATCTCGATCTATTCTTTGTATAAGCGCAGGTCTTATGATTTTATTAGTTTCAAGACCTTAAGACACGTAATAAAATAATAAAAATTACATCTCTATGCGAAACGAGATAAATTAAAATAAAAATCATTATGTTATAAATTAGTTATGAATTTATGAGCGGAGCGAAGGTGAGTCACTAGTATAAGATATTTTTAATTTAATATATTTTCATAATTTCATACATAATTTAATATAATTAATTAAATTAAATTTCATATTTATTATGTTCTTACCATAGAATATTTATTTGGTCATTATCATTAATTACGAGTATTTTGATAAAAATACATATATGTATTAACAGAATTACATAATATGTCATCGTTTAATTACATTAACTTATAATCTTCATATAAGAGTAAAAAAAATACAGTTATAGGACTAGTTTTTTTAATAATTATTGAAATAATCATATCGAAAAAAATAATATATTTACAATACATACAAATTAATAAAATTTTATATCTGGTAATTAATTTTATATAAACAATTTACTTGTCACTTTTAAAATATATATTTAATTAACAAATGACTTAACTTTTAAAAGTTATTTAAAAACTACATGAATCATAATAAATATAGAAAAGACTAGATAATTATATCATTTGGATATCAATTATTGAACTATCAGTCTGAATCCTCTACAATAAGTTCCTGTGAAGACGCTTCCGCCGAGTTGTTACCGGAAGCGGAAGTACTCGCCTCTTCCGACATTTCCTGTTCTTGAAGTCTTTGGAAGTCTTCCAAGCGCTTTCTTGAAAAGAATCCACACTGAAAAGTAAGTTTTAAGACATTATACTTGTGATTTGCCACGACTTCGGCTGCCTTGTTGATGATTTTATTCGGAAATTTCGGAATTTCGAATGTTCGATATTTGTGTTAAAGTATAAGTTATAATTATTATATATTACTAATCTAGTATTAGACTCATTTATCGGTCAGTATGGAATAGATTGACTACATATATAGTACATATATTATACGATATATAGCCTATAGCCTTCCTCAATAAAGAATCAACAAAGTTCAAACACATAAACAAACAAACAAGCAAACTCTGCCTATTTATAATATTAGTATATATTAAAAATTGGTAAATTTTGTAAGTTTGTATGTAGATGATAATCTCTAAAACTACTGACCTGATTCTGAAAATTCTTTCACTAATAGAAAACTACATTACCACCGAGTGATACAGGTTTTTTTTCAATAAAAATGTGTTTACTGTCAGTAATCATAATAACTATAATTGAATTCGAAGTCGTTAAATCTAAGAAAGTATAAATAATGACGTACTTTGTAAAGTGTTAATACTATTAGTAACAGTAACAGGATGCCCGCCACGCCTCCGACGATGTAGGGCCAAATTAGTGGAGCTGGTTCCAGTACTAAAGTCGTAGTTATTGAAGCAGACCTGATAAACAAAACATATATTATATATCTATGCATATAATATGCCTATAATAAAATTCTGAGTCGAATCTGTACATTAAATATTTTTTGAAAATCTTACTGAAATAGTCATTTTTATCGATACAGATGCCGATTGCCGAATCTATAGTTTTTAGAATTTTCGTCTGTCTGTCTGTGACTACGTCACAAAAAATCCACTGGACCGATTTTGATGAAATTTGATATGATGATAGCTGGTTATCAACATCTCATTTCTGAGAAATCTATAGCGGAGCAAGTGTCAGTCGCTAGTAATGAAAATAAATCATTTCTACTCTTAGAGAGATAGTCCTCCCGTGACTGTTTACACTAAAACATTCCAAATATCGGAAACCAAAGATCGAAATGAACCCGCGATTTTTTTTTACAATGTCAAATGTTCGAGTAAATCTAACAAACTATTATATATAATATTATAAACTATTATAAACTCTATACAGGTTTATAATATTATATAATATTATAAACCTGTATTATAATAATATTTTTAGTGCTTTCATTTCACTGAAACCATCGACCCATTGAAACCCTATAAATATTATGAAAATAATTGTTTCGACGTATGTTAGTCAATTGCTCTGAAACCGTTGAGCGGATTTGTATGAAATCGTATATAACGTAGCGTCAGCTAAATAAATAAGGCACAGTATTTTGTACCGTTAGTGACTTATATGTGGATTGTGAATAATAATCTCTAATATTAATTTAATTGTTTAGTTAATTAATTTATCAATAATAGCAATGTTAAGCGTTAATAGAAATCCAGAAATACTTTTTACGCGAGCAAAGGCAGGAGCACAAACTATGTATTAGCCAGTAAAACTTAACACATGGCTACTGTCGCCTGTCGGTGTACAATCCTTATAATATTCTGCGAAAGTTTGTAAGGATGTATGGGTGTCTGGATGTATGATGTCTGTATGTAAATTTACTGAATAAATTTTAATAAAACTTTACAATAATTTAGCTAATACATCAAAATAACACATAAGTTATCTACTTTTTATCCCGGAAAAATGTATGAATCCCGTGGGATAGATGTGCTTTGTCATTTATAAAGAATGTAAATAAAAATAACAACAGAGCTATTACTTTAGTTAACTTACTTATTTTGTCCTTCCAATATTACTGTAGAAGTGATGTTATACTCTACTTCTTCTTGTAAAAATTCTCCTGAAAATTTCACATATTATTAATAAAATAAACAAAAAGACAGCGATTTAATTTTTCCAAAATTTCAATATATTCCATGTACCTATGTAGTAACTTTTATTCTGGTACTTTCTCACATAAATACTATTTACAAGGTTCGCTTTCTGAAGAAGCTGTATTTTGCGTACTATATATATATATACTATATATTTAGTTTAGATATATAAATAAATATGTTGGGACATTAACACACAGCACCATCTAGTTCCATGATAAGTTACGAGGCCTGTGTTATGGATACCAGATAGTTGATACACTACACATATATAACTTTAAATACATACATATTATAAATATAAACATTCATGAGTGGAGTACGAACATAGGTGCTCAAAAAATGCCCCCAGCGGGACTCAAACCCGCTATCGCTGGCATAGCAATCAGAGTCACTACAAACTGAGCCAAACGTGTCGTCATAATAGATATACATATTTTGTTTTGTGTGTATATTTAAACCTACGCCTGCGCCTTATCCTTACTAATATTGGCAATAATTAGTGCAAAAGTACCTAGTATAATTATTATTTGTTATTTACAGTTTGATTTTTATTACAGATATAATTTATGATGAGTAATGGGTAGTGATGCAGGCTTATTATATATCTATATATGCATAAAATAACAAAATTGTAATTGTAAATATTTTTTGGAAAAACTTATTGAAATAGTCATTATTATCGATATTATATCGAATTTACATCGATATAATATCGAACTTTTGTCTGTCTGTCTATCTGTCTGTCTATCTGTCTGTCTGGGAACGCATCACAAGAAAACCACTGGACAGATTTTGATGAAATTTAGTATGGTGATAGCTGGTTATTTGGGTCAACATATTATAGGTTACTTTATGCTGCGAGAAAATATCTCATCTCTGAGAAATCTATACTAAACGTTACGTTACGGAGCGAGGATGAGTCGCTAGTTATTACTATATTAAGAACCACTATACAATACCATATAAGAAAACTATAAATTTTCTGACTAATATTTTTATAATAGGTTTTGTATATTTACCATATAAACCTAAATCGAATTTCAAAGGCAGTACAATCGATCGGGAAACTTTTGCTGGTATCTTCCACTTGCACTCCTCACCGTCTTCAGAGCATCCCTTAATTCGACTTGACAAGTTCACCTAAAAAACTTTTTATCAACAGTTTTCCTTTTAACGTTCAATGTAATTTGAAAATTCACGTAATTCCTTTACCAACATGTATATTATTCGGAAAATCGTCAGGAAAAGTTAGTAAGAGGCCTATTGAGGCTTTAAAAACCAAGGGAATAAGTAGATGCAGAGTCGTTTCAGATTTCTTTGGATACATATATTACTTAACTTTAAAAGTCACTACTAAGTTATAAAATAAGAATGCTCTATATAAAATTATTTCTGATTATACTCAAAAAGAACGTATCAAATATGCTTGTAAATAAATTGTTTAGGTGAATTTATTCATATAGGTTATAATTAAATACGACAAACTATTAAAAAATTTATTAATGCAGTATTTAATTGTAGCTTATCTTATTAAAGAAAATAAATTCTTATTAGAAATTTTCATACATATTTAGTTTATTTACAAAGGCTGAATGAAATCTATAATTGTTTTAATTATCTTACCTTGTCCGAGAGAATTATTTGAAGCCGCAAATGAAACCAATCAGATGGACCGAAATTGGTAACCTGTTATCAAATCATAGGGAATAATAAAAAAGCTGTCCAATAATACTTTCTTAGATTTACGCGAATGTTTGACATTATTAAATAAAACTATCTTTTCGGATTATTTCGCGGATTTATTTTGATTTTTGGTTCCCGACGTTTCGAATGCTTTACAGCATCCATGGTCACGGGAGAGACTGAGGTGTTACATGTCTTAAAGATATAGTTGTTACAGACAGCCTACCCACAATCAACAAAATGAAAATTGCACCAATTACATTACAATATTTTAACTTTAAACATTTTTATAATTTTAATTATAATTGAATATGGAAAATTATTTATTTAATTTTTGCTATTATTTTTATAATTATTACAATTTTAAAAATATTAATTAGTAATCTATATTTAGTGTTGCCATTATTATATTTATAACCATAAAGAAAAATATAAAATATAGTATTGATTATTTAAGCCATATAATTGCTCAATGTGTAATTTAAAAAAGTTAAAATTAATTAAGGATTATAATTTTAATTTAGTTTGCTATTATTTAAAAACAACTTACTAAGCAACACTATTAATATATACTTTTACAAATGAAAAATGAAAAATATCAATCTGATAAGCTGTCATTTTGATCTACACAGTATGAACTTACTACATCTGCCTGTCTGTTATGTTTATATTTATTATTTGATTTTATTATATTAATAACAGGATCCCATGACGATGGTAGTACCCAGCCATCTTCCCTATTGAGCTGGGTACTACCATCGTCATGGGATCCTGTTATTAATATAATAAAATCAAATAATAAATATAAACATAACAGACAGGCAGATGTAGTAAGTTCATACTGTGTAGATCAAAATGACAGCTTATCAGATTGATATTTTTCATTTTTCATTTGTAAAAGTATATATTAATAGTGTTGCTTAGTAAGTTGTTTTTAAATAATAGCAAACTAAATTAAAATTATAATCCTTAATTAATTTTAACTTTTTTAAATTACACATTGAGCAATTATATGGCTTAAATAATCAATACTATATTTTATATTTTTCTTTATGGTTATAAATATAATAATGGCAACACTAAATATAGATTACTAATTAATATTTTTAAAATTGTAATAATTATAAAAATAATAGCAAAAATTAAATAAATAATTTTCCATATTCAATTATAATTAAAATTATAAAAATGTTTAAAGTTAAAATATTGTAATGTAATTGGTGCAATTTTCATTTTGTTGATTGTGGGTAGGCTGTCTGTAACAACTATATCTTTAAGACATGTAACACCTCAGTCTCTCCCGTGACCATGGATGCTGTAAAGCATTCGAAACGTCGGGAACCAAAAATCAAAATAAATCCGCGAAATAATCCGAAAAGATAGTTTTATTTAATAAAGCTGTCCAATTATAAGAAACGCCACTCCGCTATCGTAATCATTTCCACATAATATAATTTACTTCCACCGCTCTGAGTTTGTTCCGACTAATCTCAGAAACTAATATATGGATTTTCATAGGATTTTCATTAAAAAAACGTGTTGTTAGCATTATACAATAGAATAAAAAATCATGCATATTCCTTATAATTATAAGCTTTATATAATCAAGTTTATTGATCATATTGCAAATAATGTTTTCGTATATAATATAATTTTTTTTGCACTTTCTCTTTCTGTCCCGCTACTTAACACTATTTCCCACATACATGGGTTGACTGGAAGAGATATCTAATAGAGATAAGTCCACCTTTGTCCACATCATTTTCTATGTATTTTTTTATCACTTTTTTTAGTGAAAGAATATATATAATTAATAAACAATATGAAAATAGAATTTTTTTCCATAAATTCAAATATTTACCAAAAGCTCTTTTATATAAGGTATTAAGGACGTACAATGTGCCTTTTCAAGCGCGAGAACAATGGTAATTTAGTTAATTAGCTGTCGGTATCCGCTCGTTGTACCTTGTTTTAGATTTTTAACAACATTTTTACGAGTACCTTCCAAACCCAAATTTAGCAGATTACTTCACTTTTTTTCATGATAAGTTGCGTAATAGCGGTATTAGGAGTTTGCGAGGCCATAAAATGAGTTTTACGTTTCTTTTTAAATAATGACTCGATTAAAGTATTAATTTTACAAAATATGGTATTAAAATTTTTATTCAGCTGGTCGCTGTTTGGTGCATCACAGTAGATGATCGCGTAAACGATCAGGTTGGGGTTAAAATGGTGTATAAAAAAAATTCCTAATTAAAGATATATGTGTAAGACACGTATAATTTATTCTAAACCACTAGAAACAAAAACCTAACTTAATCGGTATTATTATTAAGAAATCCAAACCAAAATGGCCAACCCGCACTTGGCCAGCGTGGTGGACTATGGCCTGATCCCCCTCGTATTAAAGGGAGGCCCGTGCCCAGCAGTGGGACGTTAAAAAGGGCTGAATACAATACAGTACAATTAAGAAAGTTTTCTCTATTCAAAAACATTAGAAGGACTATGTTACAGTAAACAGATGTCGCGTTGACTTTACATATTTCAATATTCAGAATGAATAATCAGGCAAACTTCTATTTTACCAAGTTTTAATAAATGAAGCTTTACAATATTCACTAAACAATTAAAAGCGACAGAGCAGATAATGAGAACAGGCGATTGCAAGGAAGTAGTACAAACTGTAACCGTAAGCGTAGGGTTCTGCATATAGGTAAAAGTATTTTTACTATCGAAAAATTATAATTTCTATGAATATAACTGGGAATTAGCCTTTGCTTCGCTTTCGCTTGGATGTGTCTTTTGGTGCCTTTTGTATTTATAATATTAATTTTGTAATCTGCACTTTTTAACGCCCTATTGCTGGACATGGGTCTAAATACCAAACTGGTTGTTGAATACACAATCTTACTCAATATCAACGTGTCAATATAAATAAAAAATCATAATAAATGAATAAAAACTCACACCTCTGATATTAATTTTCATTTGCAAATCATTTCCAATATGATTACCACTTGACTTACGATAAAAGAAAACATCGTGAGGAAACCTGCATGTCTGAAAGAACTTAGTAATTTTTCGAAAGACATGTGTAGTCCACCAATCCATACTTGGCCAGCGTGGTGGACTATGACCTGATCCCCCTCGTATTGAAAGGAGGCCCGTGCCCGGTAGTGGGATGTTAAAAAAAGATTGAATACATAAAAAAAATTTTTTGGCTATATTCAAAAAGGGCACAAATTAGATTTCAATTTTCAATAGAGTAAGTGTTTTGGCTCAGTTAGTATTTTTTATTTATATTGACACGTTGATATTAGGATTGTATATTAAATATATATTATATATATATATATATATATATATATATATATATATATATATATATATATATATATATATATTATTTATATGAAGTTATTCTATATTTTTATAAATAAACAAAATCTGAGAGGAACCCAACTCACCTCATAATAATGTTGAAGAGTAATGTTGGCAGCTTCGTCGAGTTTGTCTCTCGTTACTGCAATCGTTGCATTTGGCAGGGCTTGCCTGATATTACAATGATACCAATATAATTGTTAACTTGTGTTTTTATATTATTTATTTTTAGATTTTTAGATATTTTAATGTAGCTCATTATCGACATTGTGTCTTGTAAAACTTTGCAAGAAAACTTAAATAAACTACCTCTTTTGATTAAAATAAAAATGGCCAAATCATTCAGTAATTTCTTCTTAAAACGTGCTCTTTTCATTCAAATCTTCCGAAGGCAGAAGACATTGAAAAAATCTTTAATTAGATCGAATAACCATTTTAATGTAATGGCAGATTAATAGTGATTTATAATTTTGATCGATTTGGACCGATTCGTAGTCAGTATCGTGAGCACTCTAAGCCACAGTTTAGCTATTTTTAAAATCAGAAAAACACACTCGCGTCTGTGAAATTAATAAAAAAATATTCATCACTCACCCACTTATTTCAAAAGTAGCTTTTGGCGACACCACTATTATTTGTTCCTCTACTCTTCTTTCGATATCAGTTTCATTGTACATGGGATCATCTAATATTGCCACGACTATTATTTCTTCTACAGTATCTTTATATGTATATTCCAATTCTATTTCATACTCAACTGTTTCTTCTCGTCTTAATGGTCCAGGCAAATTACATGTTACATTAAGCTCTTCAAGGGAACATTCGCTTGGCAGTCTTATTGGTGAATATGGTAATATGAGATGTACTTTAGCTCCGAATGATGGTTCTTCTTTGTTAAATACTGTTAGTTTTACACCAAGTTTATCATCCGTTCCTGGTACATAGGTGCTGTAAAATATTACATAACTTTAGTTGATATTTTTAAATTTTTTGAGCTTTGATTCCGTGTAGTATAAACATGCAGGAATTATGTTATATATCTAACAGAAATTTTATCTACTATAAACGTATCTGTAACAACTGTATAATCTTATATATTTAATATCTATACCATTGAGACGTTTAAAACCTTAGTCTCTCTCGTGACCATTATTGCTGTAAAACATTTGAAACTTCGGAAACCAAAAATAAAATTTTAAGTTGTTTAAAATATCAAATATTCGCGTAAAACAAAGTACTATACTATAGTTAATAAAAAGCAATTCCTGCAAGTTGAAACTGCCAAAAACTTTAAAATAAGTTTTGAATAGATTGGGAAGTCGCAATGTTTTCTCTAAATGATATGTTATATTGGAAATTCTTGTTTACTTTGTTATTTAAAGAAATTGTTCAATAATATAGGAAAAAGAGGTACAAAACATACGTCCGCATTGAATGTTTGAATTTGGATATACTTAATGTTTTAGATTTGATACTAAAATATTCTTACCTATTTATTGGTTGTAGGGACATTACTAGCCAGGGCTTGCAAATCATATCCTCCCCACAATCTCTAATCAGTTGTATATCAAACGATGTTTCCAGTTTTGAGTTATCTGAGAGTCTTCCAGTATGTGATGCTACTTCTGTACTATCTGAAATATCATACAGTTATCATAAAATTGAAATGAAATCATGCTTAATTTATGATAAAAAATTACTTATAAATACAAAAATAATTTAATCCTCATTGGCACTTTAGTATGTAGCCACATCGAGTGGTCCTATAAAAATCTAAATGGTATAAAAAGTCAACATCTTGCGAAGCATAAGCAAGCTTCATGCTCCATCTATAAATAGTGGGGCTCAGTTTTTTTTTTTTTTATACTATTCCGAATTAGTGCTTGACTACGTTCCACCTGATGGTAAGTGGTAACGCAGTCGTAGATAGTAAGTCGCACTAATTCAGTAGCCACCTATTCACTCTTGCCTTGAAGACACCCATATTATAATCGGACAGAAACACCGACGCAGGCAGGTTGTTCCAATCCTTAGCCGTACGTATAATAAATGACATAGCGAAACGCTTCGTGCGGACGGGTGGAATGTCCACGACATAAGGATGGAGACCAGCCGTTCGTCGAGTTGTCCGATGATGGAAAGGGGATGGGGGAATTAATTCATGAAGTTCCTGCGCACACTCTCCGAAATGTAACCTATAGAATACACAAAGGCTGGCAACCCTACGTCGGTGATCGAGGCTTTGTAAGAATTAATTAATTATCTTTGAAAACCTAACGGTTTTTTAAGAAAAGATATGACAGATCTTTTAAAGACATTCTAATTCTCAGACTACAGCTACAGTCGTAATCCATTGTCTTACAATCTTACATTTATAATATTACTCGTAGTATTAAGTAATCCTTTAGCAAGTTTAACTAACAAATTTGTATTTATGTGGTATGAATGCGTTAAGTGTGTATGAAAGAAAGAACGAGTAAACGGGACAGAGTGTGTTGAATGAAGAAAACGAACTGTAAGTACATTGCAAAAGACGTAATAAAAAATTAATAAATGAATGAAGGTGATATATATGTAGTTTCATTGTTTTTATCCTCAATTCCACATGACTAATTAAAGTGTCGTATGAGAATATTTGGCCCTACATCTAATAAACCTATACTCTTATGACTAAAAACACTTAATTTATTTATATTCAAAAGGGTTGTTTTTTACCTTCCCAATCATTGTTTACTTCTAACTTAAATTTCATTGAAATTGGTCTTGACAGATCAGCTGTTGGCTGTAAATAAATAAACTTAATTAAAATAATTACTGGCTTACTATATTTAATCGCGATTGATAAAATGAAAACTGGCATTACAAAAATATTCTTTTTGGGGAAATGCTACAGGTAAATCAAAATTTCTAAATAATTTAATATTGCTTTTACAAGATATTTGAGCCAATACAAAAAATATGTTATTCCATATCTGGAAATCCACTTTAAAAGCTATATAATATAATATATATATCACATAAACTATTTAATTCATTTGATGAATAATTAATATATACTAATTACATATACTAATTACATATACAAATTACTTATATATATATTTGCAGATAAGCCTTAATATTTATTATGATTTTTGTACGATTCCGGTAATATATTTACATATTACATTAGATACATGCATATTTATGTACATAATTGATTTATAAAAAAAAGATTACTTATTTATACCTTAACTTCAACCACTTGTTCGTCACAATTCTCACTTCCGGCGGAAATTGTTACATCATATTCTGAATCTCCATTAATTTTCGCCCTGTTCTCTTTCGGATCTATTGTTATTTTTGCTTTAAAATCTTAAAAAAATAATAAAGTGTTAGAAGTATGGTAGCTGGGCGTTGTATATCATTTATATGACAGAATGATTAATTTATATTCATTCGTACTAAAGATAAATTAGGTAATTTAATATGTTCCATAACTATATGTATACGAGAAACAGTGGTGTAATTCGCCTTTTTGGGCCCCCATGCAAAAAAAAATTGAAGTGCCCCCCTAGCCCCTTTGCCTATTATGAAATAATATACAAAAATTTAAGACACTTTTTTCTTGTGGTTAACTTCTATGGGGGCTGTCTTCAAAAAACCGTTTGAAATAAAGAAATAGTCTGGAGCCCCCTTGAATCAGGTGCCGCATGCGACCGCATTGGTTATATTGGCATAGATACGCAACTGACGAGAAATATATATTCATTAAAATCGGACAAGAACGAATCTAACTCTCCCACCAAGGGTTCCGTAGCATCAAACATTTATTATTATGTTATTTAAACTTTCATAATTTAAGTCACTTAAAAGTAAAATGCAACATTTACTCAAGACTTCCGGTTTTGTTTTATGGCTACGGAATCTTAAAAAAATATTTGGTTATACATTCATAAATGTTTTTATTTTTTTTTATTTTAATATCCTTAGGTGTATCCTTATATTGCTTACGTACTAAAAAAAATATTATTAACATAAAAAAAATACTTCACCTATTTTTACATGTGACCAAGTTCTCAATTGTACAGCTTTCACGCAGAATAAAGCTGTAAAATTCGTTGCGTTTTGTTGTAAGTTCATAGCATCAGGTACCTTTATTATCGTTTCCACGTACATACTTGGTATACAAGTAAATACGTACGCGGCATTTGTTGTAAACGCTCCTATTGATATATCTAAAAATAAAACATATCTCTATGAAATTTAAATAGAAACTTTCACGCCTTTAAGAGATGATTTCCGGGATAAAAACTATCTAATGTGCTTCCCAAGGTTTCAAACTATCTTCTTACCAAATTTCATCTAAATACGTTCAGTAGTTTTTAGTTAGATACAAACAAACAAAAAAAAAATTTTTTCTTTATAATATTAGAATAAATTAATATTATAAATATGTTGTTTTTTTTTAACTTGGATAATATGTATAATATAGCCACGGTATATACAGTTGTCTAACAAAAGTGACTAGAAAGAACAATCGTGTGGAGAGTGAGGGGGAAAGCGCGGGTGGTGCTCTTCGACTCTTATACGTTGTTTTATGACGCAATCAAAAATGTTGGAACATTAACAACAGCACTATCTCGTTCCATGGTAAGTTTTATATATGTAGCAATATACTCCATGGTAAGCTACGAGGTCTGTGTTATGGATACCAGATAGTTGATACACTACACATATATAACTTTAAATAAATACATATTATAAATATAAACACCCATGACTGGAGTACAAACATTCGTGCTTATCACACAAATGAATGCTCCCAGCGGGACTCGAACCCGCGACTGCTGGCATAACAAGTAGGGTCACTATTAACTAAGCCAAACGTGAGTAATTTTATATAAAAAAATATTTTTAATTTTAATAATATTATGTTTGTGTTTTTTTACGAATAATTCTATGTTTGTTAAACACTCACCGTTACATTCATCGCCATTTACATCCAAACCCGTCGATATTGAAAAACCAAAAGATTTAGAATTTTCTACCATTATCTTTTGTATATATTGAGATTTTAACCCCTTTTTACCACCTTTGAAGATATAAACTGCCCCTCTCTCATCATCTTCCCATGGCGCTCCAACAGCTATATCTAAAAATTAATAATTTTATGTATATACTTTCTAGAAAGAAAAAGTAATTTACCTGAAAGTTTTTAAAATTTACTAGTAGGAAATGATAAAATTACAATGTCCATATCATATTTTAATTATATTAGTTCAATGCAAACATACTGAGTTATTTTTCAACCGACTTCTTCAAAAAAGGGGAAGTTCTCAATTTGGCTTTATTTTTTTATATTTATTATTAGTCGGTGCCAGCCGATAAACAAAGCCACCGACTCCGAAAATATCTGATTAGGTATCTATAGTAAATGAAAACTACCAATCAGTTATTTTTTACTTTTTAGTGTTTTATGTTTGAAGTCGGGTTTTTTTAAGTTTTTATCTATGTTATATAATATTATTGTTGTGAAAATTACCGTTATATCCGTCTCCGTCTACATCACCCAAGCTTGCAATAGCGCTTCCAAACCGATTTCCATTGCTACTTGAACCAGTTATATATCCTGCTGGGGTAATAATAAAACTGGAATTCTGAAAATTGTAAAAATGTTGACAAAAAATCATAATAATAAACAAAATGTGCAGAACCAGCGAGGAAAAAAAAATTCGTTAATATTTTCCAATTGTAAAGAATATGACCACTGATCATATATAATTTAAAAAAATGGTAGATTTTTTTTCTGATCCTAATAATTTATAAATTTCATATTAATTTATTTATAAAAGTTAATAATTATTTACACTATTTTCCATTGCTAATATACGATGAACTTATATTATATACAATGGAACATATTAATAGTAAGTATTGAAGTCCTCTACCACAATTGGGATTTAAAAAAAAAACTTGATTTTTTTAATGTATTTTAAAACTTTATTATTAATAATATTGATATTTAATGCAAAAAACTTAAAAAAAACTTTTTTTTGAATTATTTATGAAGAATAAAAAAATGATAATATTTAAAAAATAAATCACGTGACTGTAAATGCGCCATGATTGGTCACCATAGTTGTGACGTCATAATGTTATAGCTATTTAATAACAGTACAACGGCTATTACACGTGACTAGACTATTGAGAATTTATTGCTAAAAAAGGAGTTGTTAGTTGGTTACGATTAGCTATGTGTGTTAAAAGTATTTATTAAGGCAAAATCTGATAATATTCTTGATGTTGATATAATATTTATAATAACCAATTTAAAAAAAAATTATGTTCGGTTTAATTCTGAAGTTCGAGGTGCCAAGGCATCAAGGCAAGTCTGTTAAAAAATAATACAATAAATGAAAATATTTAATTATTATCCTCCATTATATTGAATATAATTATTTATTTCCAATTTAAACCATTTATTTCGACGTTTGTCATCTTGGGGAACATTTAAAAATATTTTGTCAGGAGTTGTTTTTGTAGTATTCGTACATAATGGTACAAAACAAAAACGATAACTTTTGAGGTTCGACATTTTCAATATAAATTTGAATATTTAATAATGACAACAAAATTAAATAGATCAAAACACTGTACTTATTATTTCTATATCAACTGCAATGAGTGAAAACTAACATTATGACGTCACACACGCTCGGGTTTGTTCAGGAGCTGTCGGCGTGTCTATTGGATTTAAAAATGAATTTTTATTTTGAATTATTGCGAAATAAAATAGTTCTGTTAAAAAAACTTATATATGACCTTTCCATTTATCACAAAAATAAATCAAAAACCCAAATGATCCACTACTTCTGACACACTAAATATAAAGAATTAAATATCTACAAAATATCTTACCGTCTGTTCAGTCAAGTAGACAAAAACAGCACCTTGATCATAATGGAGACCGCCGTCTTCTTTAACATAGTTCGGGGCACCAACTAGCAAATCGGTGATGCCATCGCCGTTTAAATCGACACAACATAAGGTACCACCGAAGTATGCCCCAAGTTGTGAGCCCCGTAGTTTTGCTTTAATATTCAGAGGATCGGTTTCCCGAAATGGTGGTTCGAATATGAGAACCTTAAAGGGTAAAAATTTGAGAAATTTTGGGGTTTGTTTATAGTATCGTATTAAAGATTATTTATATTTATAAATGACTTAACTGGTTATTTTTATTTTTCAACTAGCGACTCATCCTCGCTCCGCTTGGGTTCGTCCCCGTTTTAACGTTTAGTATGGATTTCTCACAGATGAGATATTTTCCCGCAGTACAAAGTATCCTAAATATGTTGACCCGGACCAGCTATCATCATAATAAATTTCATCAAAATCTGTCCAGCAGTTTTCTCGCGATGCGGTCACAGACTGACAGACGTACAGAAAAAAATTCTAAAAACTATAAATTTGGCCTTTGTATCGATAATAGTGACTATTTCAATAAGATTTTCCAAAAAATATTTAATGTACAGATTTCAAAGGTAGAATTTTACTATATGTGTAGATTTTTATATATTGCCTACAATAGTAGAAGAAATATGATTTTTCACGAATTCATTAAGACACACATATTTTTACATACGTTGTATTTTTTAAATTACTGAGTCGTTAAACCTTTTTTATAATCCGTAATCATATCCTGTAATACTAACATGCAGAAATAAGTTACTTTATTACAAGAGACCAAAACAGCTCTGTTAAGTTATATTGATTAGCAAAGTTAATATACAATGGGAATAAAATATATAAAAAAAATAAAACTATATTCTTTTATATTTTTAAGCATTAGTTTTCTTCCCTTTTAAAGAGAGATTATAATATTAGATTATTTAGATTTTCCTTTATTATAATAAAATCCGTTAGCTATTTTTATTGTCAAACATTTAGTAACTTATCGATCATCATACAAAATGTCATTTGTATACTATTTTAAAGCATTAATGTTTGGTTTCATGTTTAGTTCTATGACACTGTCTAGTCGAGTGCAATTAGGTTTATATCTCGAAAACCAGCAAATTAAATCAGCAAGCAAATCAAATAAATGAATTTGGCTGATATTGGATTTTTTGAATTTCTTATATTAAAACTAAAAAATTTACCATTTGAAACCTTCCGCTAATGTTTTTTTAGGGGGTGGCCCATGAAAATGATGCTACTTCTAACTGGATTCCGCCATTTTTCATTTATAATAACTAATTGCACTGGACTACTCTATATAATTTCTTAGTCTTAAACATACTTGTCCGTATCCGCCTTTAGATCGAGGTGCTCCTGCTACGTACAAAGTGTCCCCGTGTGCTTCAAATACGCCCGATTCCACGCTATATCCTGAAAAATAAGATTATCATCATCATCATCTTCATTTTAAATCTTCTTTGTCCAATCTGGTGTAGTCCTTATTCGGCTTCTAATTTATTCAAGATATCATAAGATATCTTACATATAAAGGTAACTCCTACCTTTTGATTTAACAAATAAAAATATCCGAAGTGTGAGACGTAGGATTTGAACTCGTATCGCTTAGTTTTCCAAGAAAGTCTAACCAGTGGGTGGGCTAGTCCCTCCACGGCGTTACAGTTAACAATAGATTTCTTATAAATTTAATTAATTTCTTAGAAATTTACCTGGAGGTGTTAATAGTAAAAATATATTTAGCAAACATCAAATTCTGCTATTTAAAACTCTTGTTTTTTATAGGTATATTGCTGCTATTTAAAATTAAAATATTTGGTTTTACTTATTAGCTACAAGTCCCTAAGTGTTAAGCCGAATATCTATATCTATACATAAAATTCATACATATTCCAAGAATTTGTATAAACACTTTAATTCCCCGTCCCACGAGCGCTCTTATATAAGCCGCGAGGTTATAACGTATCAAAAATGTTAGCATAAACTAATTATAACAACATATATCAAGATTTATCTTGATTTTGACATATTAATATAAAATTATTAAATGAGATATATCACTTTCTTAGATTTACGTGAATATTTTACATTTAAAAGTCTGTCTCTCCATCGTAATTGCTGTAAAGCATTCGAAACGTCGTCGGGAATTAAAAATCAAAATAAATCCGCGAAAAAAAAATGAGAAAAAAAAAATAAATGAGAAAAAAATATATTGCGAAAATCGGTTCATAATAATTTTCAAATAAATCGCGTTAATTACATACAAAATCCCGCATAGAATACCATCTGTTTAAAGTCGGTTAATTTGAAGGGTAAATGTTCCTTACCCAAATAATCATCTGGTCCCACATCTAATGTGTAATAGGGATTCATTGTCTGCTGCAAACTGAAGTACTCGCTGTCAGAAAAATATCTATATACGACTATACCACCTAAAAAAACAAAACGATTAATATACCAAAAAAACACGTCTGCTTTAAAATTTGGTTGTGTTTAGTTGTGTCTCTTTTTTTTTTTTTTTTTTTATTGTATTCTGAATTAGTGCTTGACTGCGTTCCACCTGATGGTAAGTGGTAACGCAGTCGTAGATGGTAAATCACACTAATTCAGTAGCCACCTATTCACTCTTGCCTTGAAGACACCCATGTTGTACTCGGACGGAAACACCGACGCCGGCAGGTTGTTCCAATCCTTAGCCGCACGTATAATGAATGACGTAGCGAAACGCTTCGTCCGGACGGGTGGAATGTCCACGACATAAGGATGGAGACCAGCCGTTCGTCGGGTTGTCCGATGGTAGAAAGGAGATGGAGGAATCAAGCCGTGTAGTTCCTGCGCACACTCTCCGAAATGTAACCTATAGAATACACAAAGGCTGGCAACCCTACGTCGGTGATCGAGGCTTTGTAAGTTAGCTTTTACCAGCGTAGGGTCACCAATAAGCCTGAGGGCACGCCTCTCAATTGAGTCTAAGGCTGACAGATGGCACTTCGCAGCACCAGCCCAAATGTGACTACAGTATTCCACACACGACCGGACTTGAGCTTTATATAAAACAAGAAGCTGTCCCGGTGTGAAATACTGTCGGACCTTTGCTAGTATGCCAACTTTCCTCGCTGCGACATTAGCCCTAGACTCAATGAACCGCCCGTAGTTCATATTGGGGCGAATGTCCATGCCCAACAACTGCAGACGGTCAGTGTATTCCAGAGGCACATTCCGGAAAGTAGGGGTCAAGGTAAAAGGACTCCGTTTTGATGTGAACAGGCACGCCTGTGTTTTGGTGGCGTTGAAACTCACAAGATTGGCATCACCCCAAGTGGAGACTGTCCTGAGTGTGAGATTCAACCGCTCTACCATGGCCTCTCTTTCGGACTGAATTTGATCTCTACTGGCCCGAGGATTCGGCAGGTATCTCTCTACAATAGTGCTGTCGTCTGCGTACCCATAGATACCGGGTATAAGCAGATCGTTAATATGCAGCAGGAACAAGGTTGCAGAGAGAACAGACCCCTGAGGAACTCCTGAGTTGGTCTTTAAGGGTTGTGATGAACAACCCTCAACCACAACTCTGAGTGATCGGTCGCTCAGGAAGTCTTTAATCCAGCGGATCAGGCCAGGAGATATGCCATAGGCTGCAAGCTTGCTTATAAGGCTATCGTGCCAGACCCTATCAAAGGCCTTTGAGACATCGAGGGAGACGGCAATCGCCTCCCCGCTTCGCTCAAGAGCTTCGCCAAAGATGTGATTGGCGCACACTAGAAGGTCCCCAGTTGACCAGTTCCGGCGAAACCCATATTGTCGATCACTGAGGAGGTCGTTTTGTTCTAGGTATGCCATAAGACGTGTGTTCAATACACGCTCCATAATCTTGCAGAGTATGGAGGTGATTGAGATTGGACGATAATTGGTAGGGTCAGCACGGCTTCCTTTCTTGGGCACTGGTTGCACGTTGGCAAGCTTCCAGGATTTAGGTACTATTCCAGTCTTAAGAGAAAGGCGGTACAGACGTGTCAGTATCGGAGACAACTCGGGAGCACAAGTTTTAAGCACTATCGCTGGTATACCATCAGGACCACTGGCTTTATTCACATCTAGACTACACAATACTCTCTTTACCTCCTTATTAGTTATGCAGATTTCAGGCATTGAGATCCCGCAGTGAGGTAGATGTGGTGGAATGGCATTGCCAGAGTCTAGACATGAATTTTGGGCAAAAAGAGAGGCAAGCAAAGTCGCCTTTTCCTCTGCCGTATGAGCCAGGGATCCGTCAGATTTTACCAGCGGTGGCAGTGAGGGCCGAGAGAAGTTCGTCTCGACCGCTTTGGCAAGGGACCAAAAAGCTCTGCTGCCAGATGGTTGGGCACAGAGCTTTGCGCCAAGATGTGTAGTTCGGCCAAGACGAGCCTTCTTTAATGTCTTTTTGTAGGACTTAGCGGCCAAGTTAAAGGCTCTCTTCTTGGATCTTACATTCGGAGCTTTGCTGTCTCGAGCATCAACCCAGGCAAGGTAAGCCGATTGCTTACGCTTTTCAGCAATGGTGCATTCGGCATTAAACCATGGGCGAGCTTTGCCACCAACGGGTACATCAGAGAACGGGATAAAATATTCCATCGCTTGATGCACCACATCAGTTATAGCATCCGCACAGCTCGACGGATTGGAAGAAGAGAAGCAGACCTGCCGCCAAGGAAAAGATGCAAAAAAGTGTCGCATCTCATCCCAATCTGCTGACTTGTATTGCCATACTCGTCTAACACCAGTAGAGTCGTTATCTGGTGGAGAGTAAGACAATACAGTTTTTACCAGACAGTGGTCAGAGCTACCCAATGGGGATGAAACCTGGATGTTGTATCTGTCTGGATCAGTTGTCAGCAGAAGGTCCAGACAATTAGCTGAGTGGCCGTCTACATCGGGTACCCTCGTCGCTTGTTCAACCAATTGGGAGAGTCCAAGTGACACCGCAAACTTCCACGCTTCTCTCCCAGCATGGTCCGTCTTCTGGTATGGGAACAGCCAATCTTGATGATGGGCGTTGAAGTCCCCCAGAAAGACAAGCTGCGCGGTGGGGTACCGTTGCATAGCCACATCAGCGGCCTCACTGAGATGTTCAAATAATCGAGTTGTCTCCTGGTCACCTGTGTGCGATCGGTAGACACAGCAATACAGGATCTTTTCGATTCCTATATCTACGATAATCCAGATTGTAGAGAATGTGTGGTCTTCAAGGTGGCGGAGACGCTGGAAACAGAGGTCATTTCGCATGTACAAACAGACTCCGGCCCGTGAGCTGAAATTATGCTCCAACGTGTAGCCGGGATAGTCCAGGTACGCAGCGCTCAATGGACATTGAATCTGCGTCTCCGTCAAAAAGAGCATGTGTGGCTGCGCAGTCTCGAGGTGGAAGTGGACTGATGTGAGATTTGTGTGCAATCCTCGTATATTTGTGAGATGCACTTTAAGTGAGGGGGAGTGCAGCCGCTTAAAAACATTACTCTTTTTGCGTCTTGTCATGGAATTTATTAAAAAGGAAGAGTGAATAGGATGGAGAATGGCAGTTGAACGAGGCGCTGCACGAGCCTGGCGGTGATATTGATGCTGTCACGTCATAGAGGGCTTAGTCTGGAGACTGCGGGGACGCCCGAACCCCCCCAAGGATCGCCATCGGGCCCCCTCCCCTGGTCGCCAACCAGCACGATGGAGCCACCCTGGGATTTTACACAGATGGCGGGGCAGCCTTTCATGGGTGGCTAGCCCACTAATTGGGCCCCCAACTGTCTGCGGTCGGCCAGCGGCAAGCCGTGCTTCGGATCCCGCTACCCTCCGCGACTAAGCTCTCGACATGACAAACAACGATCCACCACCAACACGGCTTCTATGCAACACAACTATTCAGACCCATTCCCCATACGGCTTCATCAGCCCCTACATGCCGGAACACGCTATGGGCGCTTGGCGGCACGACTTCTGCTGACGGGTGGTAACCGTGCCGACGGCCGATGTTGAGGCCTACCACCGCGACTACCATGGTGTTCGGTAGTTTGTCCCTTAGTCGCCTTTTACGACACCCACGGGAAGATATGGGGTGGCTATATTCTATATGCCGTAGCCACTCAGCACCAAATCTCTCGAAATTGAAATTCAAAATTGAAGGCTAATTTTTATTATTTTCTAACGACTCACCCTCGCTCTGCTCGGGTTTGCTCCTAGATAAGTTTTGATGGTTAGTAGGGAATAGATAGGCTATATATTATGTATAAATAGGTATGATAAGTTTCTAAAGGGAGCTACAATGGACCAAAACTGGTCGACGTAGCTAGGGCCGACCTCGGCACCACACCCAACATAATAATAATAATAAATATGATAAGTTGTTGTGGGTTGTATTATAACGTGTTTTCCTGCGGGAATGAGATAATGTCCCGCGGTAAAAAGTAGCTTATATCAGCCTACAGCCCTTTAACTATCTCCACACAAAACATCACACCAATCCGTCTTTCTGTTTCGACGTGAAATAAGGACAAACAAACAAACAAATAAAAAAACACAATTTACATTAATAATATTAGTATGGATACCACCTGTCCATTGCAAAAGTCCGGGGGCTCCTAAAATCACGCTTTCATTAGATACTTTAATAGCAAAACCGGCTTGACCGTAAGCGTAGAAATTGAGAAGCAAGCCATATTCGCCATATTCACGTCTCGTGCCCGATGTTCTGTGCGCTTGGCGAACTATATATAAAAAAGATACATAAATTTTAGCAAGTACCTAAGCAGTTATAAGAAAGTCCTAATTAAATAATCTAAAAATTCGTGTTTTGATAATAATGTACTGAAAGGGGAAAAATGAGCACAATTATTGTTGTTTTATCACTACGTCTCTTAAAACATCCATATTATAGCTACTAAATAGCGAGTCACCCTCGCTTCACTCGGGTTCTTCGCTAGCTACGTTTTAGAGGTTAGTGATTCCCATACAAAATAAACATGTCTAACCTTTTCGAATTTCCAACAGTTTACTTGGATTTTCCCTATTTTTTTATTTCAAACCACCCCTGACACACCCTCAACAAAACAAAAAAAAAATTATTCAAATCGGTTTTTTATTGTCGGTCAGAGTTTTAGCGAAACTAACGAACAGAAATTGATTTATATTATATATATATATATATATATATATATATATATATATATATATAAGATCAAAAAGTTATTGGACCCTTTGGTCTCCAAAGACCATGTTTGAAAAGCATGATTTTTGTTGATAGTTGGCGTAAGAAGTCTTAAATTATATCACACTTACTCGTATATAAAATAATATTCAAAAAAATATTTTAAATAATATTTAAAAAAAACTATTAAGCTACGCTAAGCTTAGCTTTTTGTTATACAATTTAAACTTACCGTTTTCCTTTAGTGGATATAAATTCGTACCATATCTCTTAGAAGACAAATAGCAAGCACCGTTTTCAAGTAAGTGGGAATCTTTATAAGGCGTCATCCATCTCGGAGCGCACATCTAAAATTTCAAAATAATAATTTATACATAAATTACACGATTTGTTCCCAAAAAAATTGGGGTTTGGATAACATAACCTATGGTAAGTATAAAGTTAGAAAAAAGTCATATTTTTTTTTTCAATAACTATTTTTCTGTTAACTTCTTCAAAAAAGCCTCCTTTGTTATACTACCGCCTTTGCTTTGTCGTTGTAAGGTGCAATTGCGGTAAATCAGTTTGATTATGTTGACATATGTGTGTATGTGGGCAGTGGTAGCTTAGTGGTAGGGCGCTCGCTTGGGAAACCGAGTGAATCGGGTTCAAATCCAGGGTTCTCGCACGTTTAATATTTTCATGTGCGAATCATTTCTAACATGATTCCCACTTTGCCTTACGGTGAAGGAAAACATCGTGAGGAAACCTGCATGTCTGAGGGAACTTAGTAAGTTTTCAAAAGACATGATTGTGTAGTCCACCAACCAGCACTTGGCCAGCGTGGTGGACTATGGTCTGATCCCCCTTGTACTGAAGGCAGGCCCGTGCCAAGCAGTGGGATGTTATAATAAGCTGAATACATACATACATATATTTATATTCATTAATATTAACAATCATGCGAAAAGATGAATATTCAAAAAAAAATTTAGTTATAATATATTACCATTAACTTTCCATTTGGTACGACTGCGATTGTCGCTCCAAGCCACATGTCGTTTTTCAAAAAATCAGAATGCAAGGCCAATCTTTGATATAGCCTACTCTGGACTGAAATAAAATGTATTATTTTAGCTCTTCATCAATAAACAATGTTGAATATATAAATATAATATATGTTAGGATATCTTCGTGATATTATTGAAAGTATAAGCTTCCTGAGAAGAATAATTATTATTTTTCGATTTGACTTTTAAAAAAACTTACATATACACAAAAGGAGTTATTATAAGTACTTAAGAAAGGAGTTATTTAGTCATTCTATAAGCGATTTGTTAGATTTATATGAGACTAGCAGAACCCGCGGCTTCGCTCGCCCTAAAACTACAAAAAAACTCTAAAAAGATAGGTTTCATACAAATTTTCATACCCTAATTAACTCCCTTGTAGGATGAATTTCCAAAAATGCTAAAACATATAATTATTTAATTGTTAATTTTTGATTTGTATTATAACGTGTTTTCACATGGGAATGAGATAATCTCCTGAGGTAAAAATTAGCCTACGGGTATGTCACTCTCCATCCCACCAATTATTTCCACGCAAAAAAACACGCCACTCCGTCATTCCGTTTCCACGTGAAAGAAACAAATAAACACACTTTCACATTTATAATATTAACTAGCGGCTCACCCTCGCTTCGCTCGGGTTCGCCTCTAGAAAAACACTAATAAAAATGTTCATTTTTCCCGGATGAAAAGTAACCGGTTGTTTGACCGGCAATATAAGGTATCAGAATGTTAAATTTTACTAAATTAGGTGCATAAGTTGTATAAGTTATAATAGTTTTTTAACTATCCCACGGGAACCATTATATTTTCCGGGATAAAAAATATCTAAGACGTTGTCCGGGGATATAAGGTACCACCATGCAAAATTTCATTTAAATCGGTCCAATAGATTCAGAGATTAGCCCGTACAAACAGACAAACAGACAAACAATATCACACGGGAACGCAGTCGAACGGGATAAAAAGTATCCTATGTCCGTCTCTGGGTTCTAAGCTACCTCCCCGCCAACTTTCAGCCAAATCGGTTCAGCCGTTCTGGAGTTATAAATAGTGTAACTAACACGACTTTCTTTTATATAATAATTAATAATAATTAATATAAAAAAGATGGATTTCACATTGGCCTTCTGTCTTTCTGTCTGTCCTTGAAATAATCGATTGTTGTTTGCAAAAACCAATAATAATCTACACATATAATAAAATTTTAACTAAGTCGAATCTGTACATTAAATATTTTTTGGAAAATCTAATTGCAATAGACATTATTATCGATACAGAGTCCGAATCTATAGTTTAAAGAATTTTTGTCTGTCTGTCTGTCTGGCTTTCTGTCTGTCTGTTTGTTACCGCATCACGAGAAAACCACTGGACAGATTTTGATGAAATTTGGTATGATGATAGCTGGATATCCGGGTCAACATACAGGATACTTTTTACCGCGGGAAAATATCTCATTTTTGAGAAAAAATACAAAAACTGCATTGTAGGAGTGTACTAATATGTAAAACCTAAGAATTTGGTTTTTAGTCATCTGAACGCGAGCGGAGCCACGAGCAATGCTAGTATAATAATAAAATATGTTGGGACATTAACACACAACACCATCTAGTTCCATGGTAAGCTACGAGGTTTGTGTTATGAATGCCAGATAGTTGATACTTGATATAATATACACATATAACTTTTCAATAAATACATTTTATAAATATAAACACCAATGACTGGAGTACAAACCTTTGTGTTCATCACACAAATGAATCACATGTCCCCAGCGGAACTCGAATCCGCCACCGCTGGCACAGCAAGTAGGATCACAACAAATTGATCAAACGTAAGACAAACAAAACAAAAACTCTTCCTTTGACTTCTACATACATACATATACACCTAAACACAAAAATTAACAAATGCGAGTAGTTGCGCTTCGAATGGAAAGTAAACATCAATTTTTTACAAAAAAGCCTCAAGCCTTGAATTTTTTTACTTTTTCTACTTTCGTCTTTTTATTTGTATTCATCTACCTAAATTATTTAATTAACTATTAATTATTCAATAAACTAATAATGGCTTATTTACTATCGTCATCCATTCCAAAAGGGTGGCAAGTAACATTTTTAACACTTAAATTGTTAAGTGAGCAAACGTATACAAGACCAGATGTTAAGTTAGGACGGTATCTGCTTGGCGCCACCGGAGCTCCGACGATTAGCCTGAAATAAAATAATGAAAATAATAAATCATTTATTTCAAATAATCATGACTCAAACATCTTCACACTCTTACAAATTTAATTACACAATAATATATTATTATTAAAAAAAACTGGTAGACCAGTGGTAACGCCCTCGCTTGGGAAACCGAATGAAGCAGGTTCGAATCCATGGCCTCTGTTATCTTCATGTGCGAATCATTTCCAACATGATGACCTACGATGAAGAAAAACATCGTGAAGAAAACCTCCGTGTCTGAGAGAACTTAGGAAAGTTTTCGAAAGACATGTGAAGTCCGCACCGCAATTTGGCCAGCGATTAATATATGTACAATCAAACCTACTTGTATACCATATAAGGCCTGGCATGCCCCTGCTCACCATGGATGTACCTTTAAACAGATTTTTGCGTAAAAGCAATCTACCTAAGTATCAGCGAACATACAGATGCACTATTATCCCTTTTTTGTTCTTATCACGTCTTTGACATTTGCCGATTGACTGATAAAGGCTTTCAAGGGAAATTTACTTATTTTTTCTATTAGGAAAGAAGGTTTCCATTTCAGCACTAAGAAGACATAAGCATTTAACTCATAAGGACTAGACCAAGTATAATTTAGTTAGGTTATAGCCTGTTTATTGAGGAAGATTTTCGGTTAATTAACATCACGGTACGACCCTTAGGAGCAAAGTAATTATCTACATGTCTGAAGCACAGACAAACACTAATATTCGTATACGTATCAAAGATGTGTGTGATAGATTTATTTTATCTCTTACGAAGCCCAAAGCAATTAAATAATACTCGAGGGAAATAAGCAAGTATTCGTGTATCTTAACGAAATAACGAATTAGAATAAGGAAGGATAGATGATATCGTAATCCAATTTACTTTTGGGACTTGTAAATATATACTTTTTGATTATATATAAGGGTATATTGGACTCGTTTTCCGTACTTAGACTCGCATTTGGTCCGTTGTACGTTTATATATATATATATATATATATATATATATATATATATATATATATATATATATATTTAAGGGTAATGAAGATATATATAACATGGATCCAGGATCGATTCCTAAAAGCAAAAATTACATTGACACTTCAAAATCAACAAACAATTAATAGAAATAGATAGATCATCGTTTGAACAACTTAACTTATTGTTTTAAATTTTTATATTATAATTGTAAAAGTAATTCTGGCTGTTACCTTTTCACGCTTAACCACTGAACAGATTTCGATAAAATTTGCCAAGTACATAGTTTGCACCCTAGGATCGGACTTATGCTATCCATGAACCCCGCCCGCTTATCAAACGAGCGAAGCCGTTAGCAAAAACTAGTGTACAATAAAAATACTCAACCTTAACTGCCTCGGTCGTCTAGTGGTTAGCATGCACGGCTGCAGATTCGGAGATCCTGGGCTCGACTCCCGGATCGAGTCAACTTTAATTTCAGACAATGAGTTTTTCTCATAAGATATTTTTAGAAGTAAGTAGCCCGGAGCTTGAAAGTTGGCGGTGTTTTACCCCCGTGTCTCGGAGAGTATGTGTCGCGTCAGTCTAACGCCTTAACTCTCACCGGTAGTGTTGAAGTATCGTCTCATCCGACTTTGAAAGGAAGAGATAGTGCAATTATGCCTACACACGCTGCACTCTAATATTATTTATCATTATAAATTAATTGTAACTTATTATTTACTAGCGATATATGAACGATAGCGTTAAATTTTGGACTTGCTTTGTAGAGTTGTTTTTTGTTTAACTTACTGTGTATAACATTTTTTTTGACATCGTGTGGAGGATTATAGTATCTATACATATAATAAAATTGTAACGCAGCCGAATCTATACATTAAATATTTTTTGGAAAATCATATTGAAATAAACATTATTATCGATACAGAGGCCGAATCTATAATTTTTACAATTTTTGTCTGTCTGTATGCCTGTTACCACATCACAGAAAAACCACTGGAGAGAATTTGATGAAATTTGGTATGGTGATAGCTGGTTATCCGGGTCAACATATAGGATACTTTTTACCGCGGGAAAATGTCTTATTTCTAAAAAAATACAAAAACTGCATTGTAAGAGTATACTAATATATAAAACCTAAGAATTTGGTTTTTGGTCATCTGAACGCGGGCGGAGCCGCGGGTAATGCTAGTGGACTATAAGTTTACATACAGAATAGACATTAAGATCTAGACAAGGAAATGTGTGTCGGTCAGCCATAAAATACTTTGTAAGCAATAAAACATGTCCATACTAATATTATAAATGTGAAAGTTTGTTTGTTTGTCTGTCGTGATAGGCGTGATTTTTTCTGTAGAAATAGTTGGAGGGCTGGAGTGACATAGTAGATATTATTTTACCGCGGGAGATTATACTATTCCCACGGAAAAACACGTTATAATACAACCAAAAAATATTTGTTATCAGAATTACTTAAAACTTGTTATTAACACCTCCAGGCAAATTTCTAAGAAATTAATTAAAAATCTAAGAAATCTATGGTTAACTGACACGCCGGTGTATCCGCGGTCGTGGAGGGATTAATGCTATTCCATAAAATTAAATAAATACGCCTGTTAGCATTTTTCGAAATTCATCCCATAAGCGGGTAAAATGGGGGATGAAAGTTGTTATGAAACCTACCTTCTAAAGATTTTTTTTGTAGTTTTAGCGCGAGCGAAGCCGCGGGTTCTAGTAGCAATACATATTACGGTTAACTGAATCTATTCTGATAATTACGAAACATTTACTAAAAGATTACACTAATGTTTTATAAACAAAAATATAGATATGAACGTTTAAATTTAATTTAACAAACTGAGGCGCATAATGCGTTAAAATTATATTACTTAATAATATCTACCACAATGAAATTTAATATTTTAGTTAATTTCGGGATAGATATAGCTTATATTGTGAATTAACAGATAGGCTTCTTTTTATTGGGCTAAGAAATTCGCGCGTTTGATTACTCGATTAAATGGTTGTATTTCTCATGGATGGTAACGCGGTCGCTAGGGAAACCGAACGAAGCGAATTCTGATTTTTTGTGTGGAGATAGTTGGAGGGATGAAGAGTAACATAGGCTACTTTTTACCGCGGTTTTTTTTATCTAATTTCCACGGGAACTCCGGTGGGACGACTGCTCGACACGACCAGTGAGAGTTAAGGCGCAGGAGCGACGTCTTTACGTGCTCTCCGAGGCACGGGGGTGACACACCGCCAATTTTCCAAGTCCGGGCTGTTACTGAGACTTACTATACAGAAAGAGTATCGAGTCTTAAAAGTAAAAAGTTCTCTGAAAGGTTATTGAACTAAACTTGGCCCGACCCGGGACTCGAACCCAGGACCTCCGGGTGTGCAGCCGTAAATGCTAGCCACTACACCACCGAGGCAGTTAAATGCGTGATTGAGTAATAAATATCCAATCATCCAAACTTTGGCTCATCCTCGCTTTGCTTGAGTTCGCTTTTAGAAAAACTGAAATAAATCTATCCCACGGGAACTGTACATTATTATGGGATAAAAAGTAGCATATGTGCTATTCTAGACTATAATCTATCACTGTGTCAAATTTCATCAATTTCCATTCAGCCGTTCTGGCGTGATTGAGTAACAAACATCCATCCATCCAAACTTTCGCATTTATATAGTAGTAAGATTATAACTTATTAAAATATTAAACTAACCTAAATTATAACTGTAACACAGCATAATATATTATACACATATTTAAAAGACAGAAAATGAAAAATACGTACTTGTCAGAAGCTAAAAGCACAGTGTAGCCAAAATATTCAGAGGCATTGCTGTCTGGACGAAAAACAATTTTAGATTTTTCATGAAATATCCCAGAACACTCACAAATAATAATATTCAAAGTTAACATTACACTGTGGAATATAAAATTCATTTTTTATAATAATTTATTTCTACCGACATATCTATCAATGAAGAGTCGGTGTCAGACTGAGTGATAAATACTGCATACATTGTAAGCAAATAAGTAATTAATTAATAATAAATCTAATTGCACTGATTTAGAGTTTAGTTTTCTATGTTAGAGATATATGAGCATTGGTTTGCTTCGTAATGTATTTGTAAATTAGTATCTGTAACTAGTTATGTGCCCTCACTTTGCTTAATAACGTCCCTAAGTAACTTTTTTTTTCTACCCCGTTTTTTTTATCCCGTGAATTTCTTGATATAACAGGATGAAACGTATCCCATCTCACTCTTAACCCTATATACAATATGTTTTAAAAGTATCTATCATATTATATTAATCTACTACCTCGTCAAAGAAGGATAAACCAACAGACAAAAATTCACAATTATATTATAAAGATATTTTTGAGGATTTACGATATAAGCGAGACATACTCGTAAAATAGTGAGTCACAGCATCCCTTGTCCCAGCGTAGTTGTTCTCTGCTTATCTCTATTATCAACTTTACATGTAACTTGTGAATTAACAAAGTTAACTTTATGTTATAACAAAATTGAGATAAATGAGGAAAATTTTGTATTGATTATAGAAAACTTTGTCCTGTAATAGACTAAGTATAATTTAGTTAGGGTCAGTGGAGTATGTGACATATTGCATATGTATATAAAATATAGATACTTACATAATAAATTGTGATTCACCCTCGTTCTGCTCGGATTCGTCTCTAGTTACCTTTTAACGGCGGGACAGACAGACAAACAGACAGACAAAAATTCTAAAAACTATAGATTCGGCATCTGTATAGATAATAATGGCTATTTCAATAAGATTTCCAAAAAATATTTAATGTACAGATTCAACTCAGAATTTTATTATATGTATAGATGAATACGTTTGTCCATCCACATCAATTTTCCATACATGTCAAAATTGTGAGAAAAACTTGATTAGATGGCGCGAACACCTGCATAATACCAGTAGATACCTATTTACTGTAAATAATTAAGTTAAATAATTTTTTTTTATCTCATTTAAAAACCAATGAGAGTAAGTAAATTAGAAGCATGTAAAGTAATCTATTAATAATATATATGTACTTATACGTCACATTTCCTGTGAGCTGACGTTTCCGCCAGTATGACTAATTGTAAAATGAGTAAGAACATACATATTTCAATGATGATAGCTATAGGAAAATAATAAAAATTAATTTTAGCCAAGTTTAATCTGACTACTACCTGGTAGCAATGCAAATTGCTCCTTCATACACGGCTGCACAGATTTTGATACAATTTAGTACTCAGACAGGCTTCTTAGTCTAATATATCTAATATAATATACTAGATATTTTTTTTTAAATTAGAAATGGGCTCACTCTTGACCTTCATCTTAGCTCGAAGGCACAGATAAGGTCTACGATCTAGCGAGTTTGCCCAGGAGAAGACTGTTAACACGCACCTTAAATAGGTTCAAGATTATTCTCGAATAACACATAGGCATTTAATAACACATCCCAGTGAAGCTAGGGTAAGTTGCTAATCTATAGATACATATAATAGAATTCTAACTCAGTCGAATCTGTACATTAAATAGTTTTTGGAAAATTTTATTGAAATAGTCATTATTATCGATACAGAGGCCGAATCTGTAGAATTTAGAATTTTTGTCTGTCTATTTGTCTGTTTGTTGTAGCTTATCTCCAAAGCGGCAAGACTGATTTTAATATGACTTTCACTGGCTAGCTAGGTTTAGATAGCTGATGTTATAAGGAGTAATTTAGGCGACTTTTATTTTAGAAAAACAATTAGGGTTCCGCTCAAAAACATTAAAACTTACCTAGAGACGCGCCCGAGCGAAGCTCGCTAGTTATACAAAGTGTGTCAGCGATTCAAATGCACCCTCTATTCTTTTTACTCTCAAAGTCTTGTCACATGCGGAGAGAGCTCAGGCGCAGGACCAACCGCTTCTTGACCACTACGAGAAACGGTACAACTTTCCCAATTCCATTTAATAAAATTGTTTTGCGGTTACTGAAGATTTATCGAAAAAAAAACCATAACTATTCTTAGTCAGACGGGACTAGAATCCAAGACTCTCCGATTTGCAGCCACACATGTTAGCCAGTAGACCCATGAGGTGATATGAAGCTCAAGCAAGAAATATCATAAACTAAATAGAACCTATATAAAAAAATCATCTGACTTTTGTATAGTCTACGTGTTAAGGCGGCAACGACGAAAGCTTTATCTTCTGCGTCACTTAGAAAGCTCTATTTATTTGGGTGAAAAATATTTGGAAATGAAATGAAAGAAGCAACCTTCTTTCATGCATAAAAGGATTACGCAATATGTCTATGGGAATAACTCAGGTGACTTTTTCATATTATTTTCATACTTGATATTATAAAGGTAAAGATTTTTATTGTTCGCGCTACTCTCTAGAACTCCCATTCACATAATTTTGCTGAAAGATTTTCCTGTAGTAAAAGGTGTCCTAAATATTGACATGAGTAATAAGATTTCACTACACAAAATTTAACTAAAATTGGTTCAGTACTTTTTGCTTGAAATTTACACAGATATACAGACAAAAAGATATACAACATTTTCGTTTTAGGATTTATATTCTGTACACAAGAGGTTATTGTAGCTATTGTTGTTAAAAAATATTTCATATACAGATTTCGCTTTGTTACTATTTTATTTTATGTATTAGCGACAAACCCTCGCTCCGCTCGGGTTTGCCCCTACTTACGTTTCAACGTTTAGTATAGATTTCTCAGAGGTGAGATATTTTCCCGCAATAGAAAGTACCATATATATTGACCCGGATAACCAGTTATCATCGTACCAAATATCATCAAAATCTGTCGAGCAGTTTTTCCGCGATGCGGTAACAGGCAGACAGGCAGACAGACAGAAAGAAATTCTAAAAACTATAAATTCGGCCTCTGTATCGATAACAAAGTCTATTTCAATAAGATTTTCCAAAAACTATTTAATGTACAGATTCGGCACAGTTACAATTTTATTATATGTATAGATAGACAACTAAACAATTGTACGTATAGATTAATATAGTAAGTAATAACAACTTTGTGGTTAGCGTCATCTACAATACACTTTTATATTTAGATGTGGAAATGGAAACCGCAAAGAATATACACGCTAATTAAAATGCATCTTATTTTAGTCTATCTTCTATCATTCGATGTAAGCAACTTTCAATAGGCTAGTATGATAAAATATAGATGAGAGTCAAAATTGGAACTAGTGACTTACTCTAGCTTCGCTTGGGTGTGTCCATAGATGGGGCTGTTCCGCTTGGGGCGGCCTCATGGTTGGTTGCTTCGGCCAACCGTCGGGGCGTCGCGGTTGTATGCGAAAGCGATCCCGTGGCGTCCCACATGGCGGCAGGGGGGGAAGTTGGGTTTTAGTGGGTATGCCGGTCTCATTAGCCGGAGAGTCTCCACATAACCACCCCGGGGGAAGTCGGGTGGTATCCGTAATAGGATTTCCCAACGATAAAAAAAAAGGGTGTGTCCATAGATAGTAGGTACAGTTTAAATAGATATGAATAGTTATTGCGAGTGTACCTTAGGAGAAACACTTATGCTATTGCAGATTTTTCTGTAGGCCTTTTTAAGATCTATTATTTTCCAGGACATTGTTTTGATCATGGACGAATTAGAGACTGGACCTGACATAAAATACAAATGTATGAAAACTAGTTCAACCAAGTGACGCATAACGCACACAAAGATTTTATTACATTATTATAAACACTGATACACAATACAATATTTCTAGTGCTTGAACGTAATCGATAAAATACATAGATCGATGAACCAATGAATGACATTTTAGACATTGGTCAGTATAGTCATCATATTTTACATCTTTTAATTTAAAATATCTGTATTTATTATAATAAATTAAAATAAATCAATTAAAGAGGCAATAATAATGTGTCAAATAATAATTATTTTTTAATTTGATTTATATAAATACGATGGCAATGATGGCAACATTCTGTTTTTACTAATCATAATAATGTTAATGAACAAATGAATATCGGGTGTATATTCCATTAATATTTAATAAATATTATTTTGTAAAGATTAAAAAAATATTAAGCTAATTTAATTAAATAAAGTGATTTTGTTGATTCTGTTATTGAACTATTTTAATTGGCAATTGATTGTCTCGGGTAGTTATAAAAATGTGACACTGTCTTAATATTGCTCAGTTCTTAATAAATATATGTGAAATTAGGAAAAAGAAAAAGTGATTGTAAATTGTGAAAAAGTGAGTGTTGGATCGTGCAAGTAAAATAATTAGTGCAAGTGATAAAGTGTTTTATTACAAATCGCCAACCCAGAAGTTTAGTGCTAAAACATTATTGTTTGATTTTGTGTAATTTATGTGTTGAAATAAAATGATCTTTATTATTATTACAATGGAATAATATTCCAAAGTATATAATTGTGGAATAAAATAAAATAAAAAATTAAGTACACATACTAATTATAATTTTTGCATTTATATTTTTATTTGATTTAGAAAATATTTTTATAAATTTATTGTCATCAGATTGTAGGATACTGTGGTAAAAGTATTTTATGTTATTGTACTTTACAAATAACACAATTCGTTTAGTTATTTCGTCAAATATCGATATATTTTTCGACATTGTCAAGCACTAGTCGATGTCAAATAGACTCACTCGACAGTTTTGTCATTTGTTCTGAATGGTATAATCCAGCCATTTTATGATGGTTGTCAGATGTCAACAATACATAGAAATATCGACTATATTTAACATAGTTGGATAATATGACATTTTATTTTACATTTAATTAAATTTTGTGATAAATAACAATAAATGTAATAAAATAATGTATTTACAAGTGAAAAGAAATAGTGCTGCTTCCGCCGTTATAGTTTTTACACCATTTGACAGAATATTTAATAATTTTCGGGAGATGTTTTGTTGACAAGTAAGTGCTTGAGACTGACACAAAAAACAAACGACTAAGGCTAAAATTTCCTTATTACTAACAAGACCGGTAAAGGTACGCCCGCTTATATGTCTGGTCCAGTGGTTAATTCGTTCATGGTTTTGATGTATCTCTTAAAGATTAGCCAGCGTTAGACATATATATTTCTAAGGACGACTCGATAGAACCAGTTATTGTGTTTTTATGAATAAAAGATTTTTATGAAGTAAAAAATATAAAATGCTGACTCGAGTAATAAGTTATCACTTAACAAAATGTTGTAAAAATCGGTTCAGTAATTTGGTGCCAGCCGATACAAAGCAAAGCACACCGAACGAAGCGAGGGTGAGCCGCTAGTTTTTCTAATATATTTAAACGAGCAATTCTTGTATATATATATATATATATATATATATATATATATATATATTAATGGCTTAAGAGAAAATAACATTGTAGTAAATTGTATCATCCGTGGTTATTTGTTTTGTAAATATTATATAACTTTGTAAAAGTATTTGTATAAAATTATTATTACAAAAAAAAAAGAAAAGAAATCCCTTTATTGGTCTTCTTTAAAATAAGATATACATATACCTATAGAGATGTGCTATCAATTCTAACATATCTATAATATTTATTTATACTAGTATGTACCTAATGTGATATTTTGCTTAATAAGTACAGCATGTTATGGTTTTTTTTAAATGAACAGGTTTTTTTAAATGAACTTTGAATACAACTTTTAACAATAATCTCTGTAAGTAGGGAGTAAGATCTAAAACTATTGGTTCTATTCAAAAAATGCTGTTTACTGTGAAAAATCATATATATTTTTAAATCGAAAAAAGTACCAGTAGAACCCGAGCGAAGTCAGGGTATTTAGTTAAGCGATTCTAAAAATATACCTTATTAATGAAAAAAATCAGCTACTAATATAAATGTGAAGGTGAAGGACAATATATACATACATATTTTTCATCTATTCCAAAAAAATATATGTTTATTTAAGCCCAAAATTGAAATTAAGTAGCCGAGATAAAAGAATTGTGTGCAGGCCACTATCTAATCGTGCGGAGGAAATGCGCTGTCTGTTTCGAAACAGCAATCACGACAAAGATGGGGGACTTAACGGGTTAGTCTACGTTCTTTTATTTGTTTTATTTTTATCAACGCGGTAACAAAGGTTAAAGGTCACAAGTTGTTTGAATGTATCCTATTCGAGATTAATATTTGAATTGGTCGTATTATATACATATGTGTGACTGCCTTGTTGATCTTATGATTAGCATGTAGGCTATAAATCCGGTAGTCCTGGGTTCGTGTCCCGGGTTAGGCCGAGTAAAGTTATTGCGGTCTTTTGTCAGAATATATGTACTCAATTAACCTGTAGTAGGGAAGGTGGCAGTGTTACCAGCCTACGGCAGTTTAGAACAGCTGTTACGTCGGTCCCGTGTCTGATCTCTCACCGCAAAGGTCAAATTTTAGTCCCAACGGACTTAGAGAGTGAAAAGAATGGAGTGCATTCCCTCACAAGAAACGAGGCCTTTTTTTATTATTTAGCTAATTGTAAAAATTAATCGTATCTATAATATCCCTTATAATACATAAGTTTTGCATCTACTAAACCATCCGGACAAAATATAAGCGTATAATTTGTAGAATGGACCAACAACGATAATGGACGCTACCACCTAGTTCTTATACAGCTACCGTTTCACGGCCATGACTTCAACATAGAATCTAATGTTATACATATATAGTATTCTTTATTATATGACATTCAATAATATATGTTTATATGGTGTGGTGATAGTGACATAGTATATTATATATCTATACTCATATAATATGTATACCTACATATTTTGGAAGCACACGATGTATAATTAATGTAACCTACCAGGTGAGTATTATTTTTGGACAAAGATCTTCTAATGAAATATTGGAATTTAGTTTTATTATAATAAAAGATACATAATATGTCAGAGGTAGGAGTGGGTTTGATTCCTGTGAGAGGCCAATCATATAACATGTTATTTATTTGCTTTTCAAGGTAAACATACAGTGCAATAAGTCATTAAATTATAAAACATATAAAAGTAATCCTAAAACCAATCAAGTTTCCACAGATATCTAATAAATAGACAAAGCTCGACACCCCAATACGATGTATATAAAAGAATATAAATATCATGAAGCTGTATGAACTACTTACTACTTATAAAGAAAATTGAGGTGTCTCTCACCATGCTTTCAAAACAATACCCTTACATTATTACATATAAATAATCTAAGACAATAAACGTTAAGATTTTTCCTACAGATTATATACCATAGCCCAAACTACAATTTTTTCCCGATATATCTGCTTGCAAAGGTAAATCTTACAAATGAAATGAATATTTTACAAGACTAACTGGATATAGGGTACTATTGATCCCGGGGAAGAAAAGGTTCTCACGGGATATGAGACAGATAAAGAATTATTCAATCTTGTATAAAGAAATTTTCAAGGCTTCAAAAGTGAAATTCCCGGAAAAGAAAAAGTTACCAGGAATAGGTATATTATATATATAGATTGTTATCATTTTAAATAAAACTATTTTTTCGAATTATTTTGCGGATTTATTCTAGTTTTTTGTTCCCGACGTTTCGAATTCTTCACAGCAATCATGGTCATGGTTAATTATTACCTATATCTGTTATAAAAAAAATTAAAACGTTTAAAAGTAAAATCAACAAATATTGTGAAGCACATTGGTGCCATATTTGAATTCTTGAAATCATTTTGTAAAATTGTCGGTAAGCACTGTCTGTAACAACTATATAATACCTTTAAGACGTCTAAAACCTTAGTCTCTCCCGTGACCTAATATAATTTTCATTTTAACTTAACTATCCGCAAAATAGACACAATAGTTAAACAATCGAAATGTTCATATATGACTCATGGGACAGGGAAATGGTTAAAGTGGTCAGTTGACCATCCAAAGATACATTTATAAACTAAGTTATAAATAAAATAAAAGTTCACTGTTTTCTTGCATAAAGTTGAACGTAAAGCTAGTATTTATTTCTGGTAGAAAACATATATTATATTAATCGGCAGTGGTAGCCCAGTGGTAGCACGCTTGTTTGGGAAACCAAATGAAGAGTTCAAATCTCGGGTCTCTGCGTTCGAATATTTTCGAATCATTTTTAACATGATCACAGTTTCTTCGTCGTTATCTTACGGTCAAGGAAAACATCGTGAAGAAACCTGTATGTCTGGGGAAACCAGCAAGTTTTCGAAAGACATGTAAAGTCCGCCAGCCCGCACTTGGCCAGCATGGTGGACTATGGTCTGATCTTAAAAGGAGGCCCATACACAGCGGTGGGACGTTAAATTGGGCTGATATATACATACATTCATGTATTGTGGAAACATTCTTAAGGGCGGAACCGTTATTGGCATCTAGTGCACGAACCGTTCTTTCTATTTTGGCTTAGACAAGAATGACGCAAGTAGGCAATATATACAAATAATTTTATATATTCCCATATCTAATAATAACTGTGTTGATTATTTACAATACCTAATGGGGAGCTGGACATTGGCACTATATGTATATTCATAGGTCGATATAAAGCGAAATATGGACTTTGGAGTCGAATATTATGAATGATGAATTTTGATCTCTAATGCACCTCGGATTCTGTTTTGTATCCTTAGGTCGCGGCTTCGATTCTAGTATGTGACAAACATTTGTATGTACAATGATGTCTTTTTTTGTTAAAGACTTAGGGCTTCTAGTGCTACAAATCCTCGCCACACGTAACAATTTATTTTTTATCATAATGGCGGAAAATAAATGTAGTGAACATTAAAATTAGAATCCAGTTTGAAAAAAAAATTGGTAAAAACGGGCACAGCTTCGTAATAAACTAGCGACTCACCCTCGCTTGGCTCGGGTTCGTCCCTAGCTTGCTTACCAATACAAACTTTCATCCCCATTTTCACCTCCTTAATGATTTCCGGGATAAAAAGTATCCTATGTCCTTCCCAGGGTCTCAAACTATTTAAATCGGTTCAGTAGATCCAGAGATTACCCCCTACATCGTCACAAACTTGCAATCTTACAAACTCACAAACTTTACCTCTTTATAATATTACTATAGATTACTACTTTAAAGCATAAAGCTCATTTAAAGTATTTAAGACAATACTATCGGAAAAAAATAGTTTTTAAACTACCTACTTTGAAATAAAATACAAGTGAGCAAATAAGCTATACATATATGTAATAAAATTGTAACTAAGCCGAATCTGTACATTAGATATTTTTTGGAAAATCTTATTGAAATAAACATTTTTTTTGTCAGGACATTAACACACAACACCATCTAGTTCCATGGTAAGCTACGAGACTTGTGTTATGGATACCAGATAGTTGATACACTATACATATATAACTTTAAATACTTACATATTATAAATATAAACACCCATGACTGGAGTACAAACATTCGTGCTTATCACACAAATGTATGCCCCCAGCGGTACTCGAACCCGCGACCGCTGGCGCAGCTAGTACAAACTGAGCCAAACGTGTCGGAGAGAGGATGAGTCACTGGTTGTAAATAAAACTATCTATACGGTTTTTTTCTAAATTTAAAATAGCGGTAAGGACTTAACGATCGACACATATCTCTATTTGATTGTTTCCATATCAGAGGTTTGCTTTGTATGGGCTGGCACCGATTTCGAAAATATTTGATTAGGTATGTATTTAATAGGTAGGCTTTAATTACTTAGCCAAAGCACACCGACTTCGAAAATATTTGATTAGGTATGTATAGTAAATGAAAACTACCAATCAGTTATTTTTTACTTTTTAGTGCTTTTGTTTGAAGTCGGTTTTTATTTTTTTGTTAAAAAGTTTTTATTTTTCCCTTTTTAGTGTAGACAGTAGTAGCAATGTAAGAATTCTAACGTGTTAGGCTTGTCGAATCAAACAAAATAAGCCCAAACTCAAAGTATCTATTATTAGCCGTTGAAGAGTTCCACCTATCCACCTTCTGGCCTTACCATCAGATCAGGTCAACAATACCGAACCACTGTACTATCAACAGAAATAGAAACACTTGCAAAGTTTCAAGTCAATATGACAATTAGAAATAGGTTAAATCCATCATTAGCTATTTTTCCACCCTTAGGGGTGGTTTTTTTTTTGAAATTTAAATGGGACCAATCTGGAAGTATATCCTTTCAAACAAAACAAAAATTGTCCAAATCGGTTAATAAATGACGAAGTTCTGAGGTAACAAACATAAAAAAAAAAAAAAACAAAAAAAAATACAGTCGAATTGAGAACCTCCTCCTTTTTGAAGTCGGTTGACAAACAAACACTTTCCTTTTTATAATAATAGTATCATAGTAGGAATCCAAATAAAAAATATATTACGTGTACCGTAAATGCACATTTTGAGTTAGAATAAGTATATTACATAGAAATTGCAAACTAAGTAAATTTCCACGTAAATAAATAACAAAAAACAAGTCGCAAATATTTTGCATGATAAACGAAACATATCGTTGAGTTAGGTTTTATTTAAAGTACACAGATTCAAATATCAAACGATTGAGAACGAATCGCACATCAAAGAGACGAATTCGAAAGCAAAAATGTGTAACGTGAATCTATTTGAATTTTTCTGACGATAACGCGATACACAATGCTGGGTCGTTCAGTAAAAACAATTGATTGAAATATTTTTTTTTTACTAAGTAGATACTATAACGTATTCCTTACAGAATTTTATTTTAGGATAATAAAAAATCCACGGTTTTTAGGTTAGGTTTATTTTTCTTTATTTTGTTATTATCATCTTGTCGCCATTCTCACACAACATCCTTCTCTTTTATTGATCTTTCATTCCATTCCATTCTTTATGCTATTAGCGATATACTCACATGTTGTCAACCTATCAAAATAAAAATTATTAATTTTAGTCAAGCGATATTTGTCTGAACATAAAACCTAGTAGGTACGTGGGTAAAAACTAGAATTGATTCCTTTTCCAATCGTGATGTCCGTATGTTTAAAATTGTAAATACAAAAATGCGAGCTGGCGTCTGTTTTAGCCCCAATTTTCTGTATTCAGACGAACCTTTAGTAGGATTTGTTGGGCTTATTGTTCAGTCAGCTATTTTAATGTTTTATTCTAATTTGATGGCAGTGGTAGCCTAGTGCTAACGTTCTCCCTTTGGAAACCAAGTGAAGGGGGTTCAAACCTTAAGGCCTGTGTCCAGATATGGGACGTTAAGCAATGCTGAATGAAAACTTTAAACTTTTTATTTTAAGGATTTAACTAACTTGGATTGAATAATAACTTAAATATTTTTGGTTTAAAGATATTTTATATTATGCTTATAATTTTACGTGTCACTATATATACATGTCACGGTTAAACCTCTAAGCTGTTTTAATGGTATTATTTATTAAACATAATTTATAATAGACTTAGAAAAAAAAATCTATGCCTATAATTTATAAAGTTTTTAATCAAGTGACATCTATTATATACTTTATGGACTTCGTCATATTAATCGCAACGATTCAATCCACGTAGAGGTTTTAATTTAATAACATAGATGGCGCTGTATCTAAAACCCAAATATGTGGTAAAGTAATATATTTCTTGTTTATTATACACATTTTAAACAAAAAATAATAGAAATATGCTTACAAAATTTTTAAACATCCTTTATTAATCATTAATTATTTAGTAAATATTATAAGCTTGTAAATATACACAGCAATTAATGAAACATACTATTTGAGAACGATCGTTAAAATTATTATTTTTTTTTTTAAATATTTGCCTTAGTCCAAAATTTTACAATTCACGTTAACGATTAGTTTTTTTCTCTAAATATTATTAAAACTACATACCTAATTCTACACAATAATTTTATATTATACTTTAAAATAATTATTCATATTTTCAATATGTAGATTGCAGTTAGTAATATTTATAAAAAGTCTATATCAATACATTATAAGCTTATTAAAGTGCCTACCGATGCCCATAATAAAAGGCCAATACATTTTATTAGAATAGCCTTGTACTTCGCAGTCACGTGCAGTCACTAAATACACTCGGAAGATATCACTCTTCAAGTAGTAATTTAATTAAAAAAAAAAATAAAAAAATAAAAGTACAATTAAAAAAATATGAATAATAAAGAAAAATAATTAAATTAGTAGAACTATTATTGATACGTGTAGAAGTGTTGGCTGAATGTGTTTGAACCGTTTTAATAATTTTTAATTCCTTAATTGCATTTTTAGCCTGTGCCGTAAAATAGTGGAACGCGCGAAATTTTTTGAATACCTTTAATAAAATATAAATATATATATTTTTAGTGAATTTCTGTTGAGTGTGAATAAAAGCTTCCAAAATTAAACAAATACAGAGTAAGTTTTCATTTTTATTTTTATTTTTTGGAGATTATAATATTACCTTATTTATTATAATAAAAAGTTGTTAATTACTTTTATTTAATAATATTTATTTCCTTAGATATCACTGGTTAAACAAATTGTCATTTGTATAGTATTTTAAAATATTATTGTTTTGCTTCATGTTTAGTTCTATTACACTCTACCTATATTATTCCGTAATCTGAGGTAATTAATTACTTTAAAAGATACAACGACTAAGTAATTTCACCTTTGAAAGTTAGATTTCTTGAGATTTTTGTGGGACAACGCTTGAGTATGACTCTATTCGTTATAAAATCAATAACATTGCGTAACACAAAATAAATGTAAGTATACCTATTGAGTAGGAGTCTCGCCCTTACTTAATTTGTCGAAAATTAATTATTTAATTATATTTTAGAACTTTTATTTGAATTTTATACATTTATTTATTTTTTTATTTTATTTAATAGTTAATAATTTTAATCTACATTTTCTTTGTATTGACTTTTTTTTAAGCTACATTGGACCATAACTGGTCGACGTAGCTAGGCCGACCTCGGCCCACAACCCTATAAAATAATAATAATTGAATTTTTATGTCCTGCTTGTTTCTTTTATGTTAAATAAATAACGCGCTTTAAAGCCATTAACAAAAGAATTGAATTGAAATAAATAACGATAACTTTAACTTTCCACTTCTTTAAATTAATACGCTATATATTGTCTACTTACTCTAATAAGAAAGTACAAAGGTTTATAGTGTATATCATGTCGAAGACAATATGTACATATTATATATCATACGTACCAGTGTAAGGTTGTATTTTTCTATATGAGTTTCACTAATTTGTAACAATGTATGTATAAAAGCATTTATTTATCTGACCTTGGCCGATAGGAATGTATTTAAAAAAAATGGACGCGGATATTCTTTTGTGTTCTCGCGCTTTTAGGGCAGAGATGTCGGTATTACTTTGTAGTGATTTATTATTATTATAAATTACTAGCAGAGCCCGCGGCTTCTCTTGCTAAAAATTGCTAAAATTACAAAAAAAAACCTCTAAAAAGATAGTTTTTATACAAAATTTCATCCCCTATTTTACCCCCTTATGGGATGAATTTTGAAAAATTCTAAAACATGTATTTGTTTAATTGTATTGATGAGCATTAATAATACCAGGTTTTCAAGGTAAAAACTAAAAAGTAGCCTATGTAACTTTCCAGCCCCAACTATCTCCACACAAAAATCACTCTGTTTCGAGAAGGACAAACAAACATACTCACGTTTATAATATTAGTATGGATATAGTTGTACCTCATTATTTAAAAGAGTAACTGTTGAGTTTCTTGCCGACTCTTCTGAGCCGGTGGTAGCTTCCTAACAAACAGACATACACACCTACTGACAATTATAAAAGTAAAGTGCCAAAGTACTGTATATAAGAATATATGCAAACAACATTACCAAGTTTTATTAGTGTCATCCTACAGTAGTTTCGAAAAAGTAAAAATGAAACTTATAATAAACTAACGTTTTCCAGCGGCTCTGTAGTTATATTATGTGATATAATTTTATAAATTTAATAAAAAAAATTTACAAACATAATAAAACCCGATTGCTTAAAAAGAAAACTAAAAAGATGAGAAGAATTCGGCGAAGTAGCATATTGTGCAGTCAAAGTGCAGTGTGAAGAATAAAAAAAAAAACAATAAAGATTATGGTCGAATTTTAAGCACTAGACGATCGTTAGTACAGCTATAGGTATACGTCTAAAAACGTCTCATTAGCTTTTATTCGATACCAAATCAATAGGATAATAATAAACTATTTTATATATTTCATTTTTAGATGTGTGTTTTGTAAATGCCATGTCTAAATATTTAGAAATCTATGTTACTTCCACAATTAAGAAGAATCATTAAATGTGCATACTCTGCTTTGGCTACAGAAATAGCCAAGCTTCTTCACTTCAAGAGTATTTTTGAAAAACAATTTTAAAAGCAGCAATAGAGACCGCTCTCGTTGTCTCTTTGGGCTCTTTGTCTGCCTGCCATGACTCTAAAATCTAGATAGTAGTATATCTTTTTTATTTTAACTTTATACAGTCTTAAAAAAGACAATTGATTAAATCTGGTTCAAAGATTTCAATGTCTTTCTCTATATCGTGGTTTTCTCTGTCTCTTTCTCTCTTTCTCTCTCCCTCTCTCTCACTCAGAGTCAGATTTGTTTAAGGATTTGGCATGTAGAGCTAAAAAATAAACACATTTTCGCATTTATATAATATTTAAATAAAAAAGTTTTCTTTTACAAATGATGAAATTATGTAATTTTGCAAGTACATAGGTACGTATCGTTGCATAGGTAGGAAATTCAATTCCTAGGAAGTGCAAAAATATTGGCAGCATTTCGCTCGCTAGTCTCATTACAATGATAGATTTTTTTATAACCACACTAGAGACTTACCCTCGCTTCCCCCGGTGAATCCATAAGCTTGAATTGTTCAGGAACGCATAAAAGGCAAACGTCCAAAGAACAAAAATCTTTTTTTTCTGCGCTAAGAATCTTTGCAGGCATATGATGTTCTCCTGACCGATTCCGGCCACGGCGGCCAATCTCATTGAGACTAGCCAACTGCGCAGGAGATATTATAGTGCACAAGTGTACGCGCAGACACAGGTGCACTCTCTATTCCTATCACTCTCATACTCCGGTGGGACGACTGCTCGACACGACCGGTAAGAGTTAAGGCGCAGGACCGACGGCTTTACGTGCTCTCCGAGGCACGGGGGTGAAACACCGCCAACTTCCCAACTCCGGGCTGTTACTGAGACTTACTATACAGAAAGACTCAATAACTAAACTTGGCCCGACCCGGGACTCGAACCCAGGACCTCCGGGTGTGCAGCCGTACATGCTAGCCACTACACCACCGAGGCAGTAATAATGCAGGCATATACAGAGTAATTGACCAGAGTTTCATCACAATCGAATCAATAGTTTAGGAGCACGTAGAGGACAAACATACAAACATTCATTTTTATTTATATAGAATATAATATATTTTGAGTACTAAAAATCATCAGCGACACGCACACGATACAACAAAGATCAACGATCTATCAATGCTGCAAATCACTTGCTATTATTATATAGGAATGTTGGCATTGTCATTTGTATTGATTGATACAAATTATGAGATATTAACTGTAAATAAGGAAGATAATGTAAATGCTGTCATCTCATCTTAATATTTTTATCAAATCGTTTTGAATGCAACTATATATCCACTAATAGAATTAAACAGTAGATTTGGTTGTGTAAATTCTGATTCATTTAAAAAACGTAAGTCACGTTTTACTTTTATAATAGTACCTATAGAAAAAAATGTACTAAATATATATTTCGTAGTAAATTAACTTTATCAATTAATTCAGTATTTTTAAACACAATCAATTATCTTTTATCAACATCTATAATCACTTGCTTATTTATATATATACTAGCGGACCCGACAGACGTTGTCCTGTCTACACGTCTTTAATTTGAAAATTTCAAACTTTTTTTAATAATTTTTTGATGAAAATTATTATTCAAATTGTGAATCTAAACCATTCCCAGATCCCCTTGAACACACACAAAAAAAATCATCAAAATCGGTCCAGTCGTTTGAGAGAAGTTCAGTGACATACACACTCACAGAAGAATTATATATATAAAGATATATATATATATATATTTATATATATATATATATATATATATATATATATATAATTGTATATTTATATGATTATGACGAATTGAACGTGATGCGGAAGCAAAATGTAACATAGTGGCATACAAAATTCTGATACTTGAAAATAACTCAAGGCAATTCTTTCTTGGCAATTTATCCCATAGTTATGTATCGAAGCAGGGCCAAGTCTATTTAGTATGAACGAACATCTGTTTAACATGTCATTGTGATTGCTGCAAATTACTAATTAGGTACAGATTTTTCATCAGAATTGCTTTATTATATGGGGTTATATTTAACGTTGTATAAATCTAGTGTTTTCAGCCACATTTTACATAAAGTAACATCAAGTGCGCATGTCACGATCAATCAAAGAATCGTCTTTTCCTCATGTCTTAGAATAAAATTTATAAATAGCATGGTCTCGTAACAAAAACCGTAATACCGGTAATTTAATAAGTCACCCGTGCAAATTAAATATACAAATAAGTGAATGAATGAAAGAAAATCGATGTATGCGCGCGCATATCTTTCTGCTCCCTACTACGTATAGTCGACACTACCAGTTTACTTCTCTTACATTACCGCGCCAACGCTAGCCGGTATTTGTCGTCAATAAATAAAATAGTAATGGACAAAAGGCGAAGAAATGTGAAATGGAAAGATATATAAGTAGATATATTATGTAGAACATAGTGCTCGGTGTATACGGAAATAACAATGCGAATGCATTTTAAATATCGATTCGAATGCAATTGTGAACGATTTTGCTAAATTAACAATATGAAAACCTAAAGTCTTAAACAAATTCGTATCTTACCTTCATTAAAGTCGTATCTTATCTTATTATCTACATATATAAAGTGACTTGTTCAAACAATAAACAAATAATTTGAAAAGAACAGTAAAAACAGAAGGTCCAGGTATCTGGGCTTCAAGGCTGAACTGCCTGTAATGGAGAAAAGTGACCGTTTTTCAGAATACCTGTTCGTGAAGATGGGCCCAGGGGATAGGGGCCCGAAGACTACGGAAGACCGGTCAGCTCCGGTTGACCATACCGGTGTTAAGAAATGGCTTGTGGAGAACACACTCCTCGTAATCACATTAGCTGGAGTACTTGCTGGTATTGCTGTTGGTAAGTTCTACTCTATATTATCTATCTAAAATAAGGATTATTTAAATTCTTTATTTAATACTACCTAAGTCGTTGTCTAAAAATATTCCTAACTGTAACAAACAAAGAAACTATAGAAACGTGTAAGTACAAAGAAACAATAATTTCAAATAATTTATATTTTCGATTTCATAATAAACTTTCAGGGTTCGGTCTTCGACCATACAACCTGGGGCCAGATGCTTTGATGATAATATCGTATCCAGGGGAACTTTTTATGAGGTTGTTAAAGCTTATGATCCTGCCTCTTATCATTGCTAGCCTCATAGCTGGCTCTGCAAGTCTGAATGCTAAGATGAGTGGCAAAATTGCAGTCAGGACGTTACTATACTTTATTTTAACGTCCATGTTTAATGCGTTTCTTGGCATCGTATTGGCTATGCTAATACACCCCGGTCAACCGGAACTCAGAGAAGATTCATTTGTTGCCATTGAAAATAAAAGGGATCATAGCATTTTGGACAGCCTTTTAGATATAGGCAGGTATGGTATGACACGACTTTAGTATATGAGATGTCATTCAATTTTCTTTTTAATTTAAGTATAATAGAGATCTACTCAGTTGATTGTATTAATATGCGAAGAGAACACTTTGTACGCTTCCCTTTTAAATAATATCCTTTTTTGGGTATATTGCGGTACAGAGTTGTATGAGCTTTCGCATAGTTAAAGTTTATTTGGAGAAGGAGTACAGAGAGTTGAAAATTATTAATCTATACTAATATATAAAGTTCTGTCTATCAAAAATCTCTGGAAATTTACAGGATATTTTATAGGGGCATTTACAGATTACCCATGCAACTTTGGCAAAAAAATAACCTAAATCATAAAATAACGTTTAAACTTAGTGGTTCAAAATTATTGCCCATTTTAGATCACGGTAGGATCACTGACTAAATCAATTATAGTCTTTAAATTAAATAACTATATACATATTTAAGATGGTCAGACCTAATGCAGCGATTGGAATAGCCATATTATATATTTAAATAGATAAAAATATAGTTTAATAATCAATAATTTCTAATTATACATATGTTTATTTTAGGAACATTTTCCCAGATAATATAGTACAAGCCGCATTCCAACAAGCGCACACTGTGTACATTGAACAGAAGACGCTCTTTGCTAAAAACGCAACAGATAGCACTATGCCAGTTTTAGTCAGGGAAATAAGATACAGGTGATTATATCGTCCCTTTTTAACTTAAAAGACCGTGACTTTTTAACAGCCTCGCTGGTGTAGTGGCTAGCGTATACGGCTGAACATCCGGAGGCTCTGGGTTCGAGTCCTAGATCGGACCATTTTTTTATAATAAAAAATAAAAAAAAACGAACTATTCACCTATATTTTTTATGACAACAGTCCTGTAAAATTTTGAAATTCGTATTAATAATAATAAAACCCTTTATTGTATACCCAAAAAGAAAATTTTTTACAGAAATATAGGAAAATGAACAAATCATATATATTTTGCGCTCGTTCCAATATTTTAAAGTTAAATTAATTTTATTTAGTATATTTTTTAATTTCAGATCAGGAACTAACACATTAGGTCTAGTATTCTTTTGCTTAGTGTTCGGTAGTTTATTGGGAACTTTAGGGCCGAAGGGCAAGGTTGTGATAGATTTCTTCCAAGCTATATTTGAAGTTATCATGAAAATGGTGACGGGAGTGATGTGGTTCACTCCCGTGGGTGTCAGTAGTGTTATTGCTGGGAAGATCCTTGGAGTTACTAATGTTGGTAAGTACTTACTTGCAAGGAAGATTTCAAACCATTTTTATTTTGATACTAGCAACTCACCCTCCCTTCGTTCGTTTTCAACCCTAGGTGCATTTTAACGGTTAGGTCGGAATAGATAGAATATACATATATTACATATACATAGGTACAAAATAAGCAGTTCTGAACTTTTCTTTTTTCCAGCTGTATTTTTTTGGGTTTTCCCTATTTTTTTGCAACTTACCACCTATTAAATGTTTGTATCTAATAACACCCTCCAACCCTTAGTAGCGTTACAATCGTTACTAATATTATAAAGAGGAAGACTTTGTTTGTTTGTTTGTTTGTTTGTTTGTTTGTTTGTTTGTTTGTTTGTTTGTTTGTTTGAACGCGCTAATCTCAGGAACTATTAATCCGATTTAAAAAAATCTTTTTGCTTTAGATAGCCCGTTTATTGAGGTGGCTATATATTGTCCCGGAAATATGTGCGGTTCCCGTGGGATAGATTTGTTTTTGTCTAGGGACGAACCCGAAGCGAGGGTGAATCTTTATATACATACATACATAGAATACGAATGTTGCTTTATAATTCAAATTATTTATTTGATTCCAGGCCAAGTAATGTCACAACTAGCATGGTTCATAGCCACAGTTACAATTGGTGTGTTTTTGTACCAATTAATTGTGATGCAATTGATATATTTCATATTTCTAAGGCGGAACCCATACAAGTTCTATTGGGGACTTTCTCAAGCGATGTTGACCGCCTCCGCTACGGCTTCTACGTGAGTTACATAGTTTTTTATATTTTATCTATACATATGTGAATTTTGTAAAAAAATATTGTATTATTATTAATAATAGATTTTTTTTAAATTGGATTGTATGAAGAATGGTTATTGAAATATTCAATTGTTAGTCAATTTTTATTATATTCTGAGTCGAATCTGTACATTAAATATTTTATGGAAAATCTTATTGAAATAGTCATTATTATCGATCGATACACGACCGAATCTATACTTTTTAGAATTTTTGTCTTTCTATCTGTCTGGGAACGCAGCACGAGAATAAGTACTATTGGACACAATTTGATGAAATTTGGCATACCAAACTAAAAATACCCGGATTACCAGCTATCATCATAGTGGTGGTAATCAGGGTTAACATATAGCACACTTTTTACTGCGAGAATATAAACGTTAATAATATTATTAAGGATTTCCAAATGTATGATTTGAAAATTTCACACATACACTGTGGTAGTGTACATATGAATGGATCTGCATATGCTACTAATAAGTACCAATTTAAAAAAAAAACTATCTTTTTGGATTATTTCGCGGATTTACTTTGATTTTTGATTCCCGACGTTTTGAATGCTTTACAGCAATCGTGGTCACGGGAGAGGCTGGAAGTCTCAGAAAATATAGTTTATTTAAAATTTTACTTGTCAGCTTGCATTGGGTTTATTTGATATCGTTTTAAAATTGCTCAATTGTTTTTTTTGTTCAATTTTTGACATTTCATTTTCTTTTTTTATTAGCAGTGCATGTACGTATTTTGTTGGTCAGTGCTATGGATATAAGTGACTAACATACTAGAACTTTTTCTTGAATCTATCTCAAATAAAATAAAATAAAATAAGATTATATAAAAATGCTCAAAAAAGGCACAGACGTATGTCTGTGGGTCTTAGACTTACTCAAATATTAAAAAAAAACATACTAGAACTTGTGATTAAGAATGTACTTAAAATATATTTGTGTTATGCTCTTGGTGTTCTTCATAAATTAAAAAAAAATGTCAAATATTCGCTTAGATCTAAGAAAGTATTATTATTTACTTCTAGTGCCGCAGCACTTCCAGTGACTTTTCGCGCTATGGAAGGACCCCTTCGTATAGACGCTCGTATTACGAGATTCGTACTGCCTATAGGCTGTAATATAAACATGGACGGCACGGCGTTATTCTTAGCAGTGGCTAGTGTGTTTATTTGTCAGATGAACAGTATTCATCTTGGATTTGCGCAATTGGCTACCATATTGTAAGTATATTTTTTTGAATGAAGTTAAACTTAATGTATAACGTTAGACTTATACAAGCGTTTTTGAATTGTCAATTTAATTTAAAGAACGTCAGTGTAGTCAGTCAGGAAGCTTCCACCGGTTCGAAAGCATATTTTTTCAGTTTATTATTATATTTGCGTATATTTTTATTTATAAATAGTATACTTTAATAAACATGATTAATTATTTATAAATATAATTTCTGAGGGTCTACCATAAAATCTTTTTGCGATTCAATTTAAGACTTAAAATGAATTGTTTTACTTCCATTGATCAAAAAGTACTAGATACAAAATCAGCGACAAAAAAATGTCCTCACCGAATGAGCGCTCATTTTAACATTTGAGTGCGATTTAATTTTTTCTGTGAAAACAACTCTAAGCGTTGCATTTAAGGTTTAAAAAATGATTGAATACGATAAAACCAGTGTGATATACAAATATATAAATAACACTCACATACACACACAAAATTGCATATATGTACATATAAACACGCCCGCGCCCAGCGGCCAGCCTCATCGCAGTCTAACGTCGACGGCAGTGTCGGTGATCGGTGTCGTCTATATATACATATATAAGTGTGTATGTAAACACGGGCAACCCCGCTCCGCCGTAGCCTGACGTCGACGGCAGCGTCTCACACACACTCACACTCTCTATCTCTCGCACGAACACACACACACACACGTACATTCGCACACGTACATACACATACAAGTGTGTATATATATCGGGGCCGCCCCCCGCCCGCCGCAGCCTGACGTCGACGGCAGCGTCGCATACATACACACACTCTCTAACTCTCGCACACACACACATATACAAGTGTGTATACATAACGCGGGCGCAGCCTGACGTCGACGGCGGCGTCGGTGTCGTCGGCGTCGGTGCCGTCGGCCGCGATGGTGCTGCTGCTGGTGGTGCTGGCGGCGCTGGACGCGCCCGCGCACGACGTGTCGCTGCTCTTCGCGGTGGACTGGCTTGTGTGAGTGCAACTGTTTGTTATGTTTATATTTAGTATTTATTTTTAACTGCCTCGGTGGTGTAGTGGCTAGCATGTACGGCTGCACACCCGGAGGTCCTGGGTTCGAGTCCCGGGTCGGCCCATGTTTAGTTATTGAAATATTCTGTATAGTAAGCCTCAGTAACAGCCCGGAGTTGGGAAGTTGGCGGTGTTTCACCCCCGTGCCGAGGCAGAGCACGTAAAGCCGTCGGTCGGTCTTGCGCCGACACTCACTGGTCGTGTCGAATGGTCGTCCCACCGTAGTATGAGAGTGACAGGAATAGAGAGTGCACGTTGTGTCTGCGCGTACACTTGTGCACTATAATATCTCCTGCGCAGTTGGCTAGTCTCAATGAGATTGGCCGCCGTGGCCGGAATCGGGCGGGAGAACATCATTTAGTATTTAGGTTGTATGGTGTAGTGGCTAGCATGTATGGTTGTATACTCGGATGTTCGAGTGCCGGATCGGACTAAGTTTAGTTAGTCTTTTATTAAAAAAACTCAAAGACCACTAAACTAAAAAATCCCACTAATAATTTATATTTCTCATATTTATATTGTAAAATAATATGTTCTGCGATATTCCTTAATAGTTTTTTAAGGTATATCAGGTATATTTTTAAATGTAAATACGTACATAAAAATATTACATGACTGACAAAAGGTTGCTTATTGAGTGCATTCCCAAACAAATATATAGAGCCAACTGAATGTATAGACTTTTTTATATTGGGGAATGCCTTACGCATACCACCTGCATACACACAGGTTATATGGAACTCACCGGCCATAAAAGCTAGTACTACCCACCAAAAACTAACAGAAACTCCTCCGTCATAATATGACGTCTAAAGCTTTCATCTATACATATAATAAAATTGTAACTAAGTCGAATCTGTACATGAAATATTTTTTGGAAAATCTAATTGAAATAGACATTATTATCGACACAGAGTCCGAATCTATAGTTTTTAGATTTTTTGTTTGTCTGTCTATCTGTTACCGCATCACGAGAAAACCACTGAACAGATTTGAATAAAATTTGGTATGATGATAGCTGGTTATCCTACTTTTTACCGCGGGAAAATATCTTATTTCTGAGAAAAAATACAAAAAATGCAATGTAAGAGTATACTAACATGTAAAACTTAAGAATTTGGTTTTTGGTCATTAGAACGCGGGCGAAGCCGCGTGCAATGCTAGTTGCTTAATAATATTGAAAAATTAAACACGTAAGTGAGTTTTGTTGGTAAATTAAAAATTATATAAATATTATGTACATTTACGAAATATATTTTTCAGTGACCGCATTCGTACAACCAACAACATGTTAGGAGATTGTTACGCCGCTGCCGTCGTCGAGAAGATGTCCAAAAATGAGCTTATGGCGTGTGATGCTGCGTCCATGGTGAGATTTATATATATAATCTATATCTACATATATCTATACATATAATAAACTTATAACTAAGCCGAATCTGTATATTATATATTGCTGGAAAATCTTATTGAAATAGACATTATTATCGATACAGAGGCCGAATCTAAAGCTTTTAGATTTTTTGTCTGCCTGTCTATCTATCTGTCTGTGAATGCATCACGGAAAACCACTAGAAGGATTTTGATAAAACTTGATATGATGCGAGCTGGTTATCCGGGTCAACGTAAAGGATACCTTTTACAGCGAGGAAATATCTCATCTTTTAGAAGTCTATACTAAACGTATGTAAACAGTAATTAAAAAAAGTTTATGTATGTGTACAATTCAATGCCAGTTGTACACAGGTTACTTCGCCAATGTCACGTAGAATGGAGAAGACATGAAAGAGATTGGTCTGTAAAATAAGATCATTAAACTATATTAAATATAAAGTGTATCAAATGGCAGTAAATCCTTCGTAAACCTTGAACCTACAATAAAAGAGCACAAAAACACAGCATAAAAAGTATGTTTGTGCATAAAGTATAAACTATTATTTTATTTTGACATTCTAATATTTACCTCCTGGTTAAATCCTAAATAACTAAACCGATTTTAATAGTATTTTTACTGTAGTATAGACAATTTGAGTGGACTATCGCAAATGAAAACTAACGTTCTTTAAAAATACGATATATAACTCAGAACTGAAGCATCTTCGAAATATTTGGTAGAACCAATAACGTCTGATTACTTTAAATTAAACAAATGATATATATTTCGATTTATTCAACATCTTTGTATTTGATGTATTCGATGCGTATGATCGTTACTAACATCTAACGCCATCTCATATATATATGTTTACTAAAACTAGATATAATATGGAAAATGGATGTAGTTACACTTATATTGCTTGAATTTTAATAGAGGAAGAGAAAACTAGACGAATTTTATTTTTGGCTACTATTATTAGTAATGTTAAATAAATATTTTAGGAGCCGTCCCTTACGAACGGCCTGCCAACATCTAACACAGAAATCGAAATAGGTATCGTCACACCCGGTAAGAAGTCCATCGCATCCGACGATGTCATCATCGATATGCATTTACATAAATAGAATAAACGGTAATATTATTTAGAGAGCCTTTGTATTTATATTGCCATAAAAATTGTTTTAAAAAAATAGTTATCGAACCTACGACCCCTTTGATCCCAGTTTTGGAATTAGAAAAACAGTTTATATCATTTTAATAGTTGTATAATTATATTATAATAATCACAAACTATCTCATTATTTCTATGTTTATGTTCCTATGTGTTATTTTATTGTGTTGATATAGTGTTGTACTATTGCACTATTATGTAGGCATTTGTAGATTAAGACACTATAGTTTTTATATACAGATGGCCAATTGAAGTATGGATGTAGTTTTGTATATTAATACGTGAACTTTAGACTAATACAAGTTTACAAAATTTCTGCTAAATTAATACTTGAGTATTTTCCCCAATTCATATCATTTTACTATACAAATATTTTTATAGTTGTAAGTTAATAAATAACACCATGGTATTCGATTAATAAATTAAACTTAAGTGATTTTAAATTGCCTCACACGGAACCAAAGCGGCTACCTATCTGACTGCCTGTCATTAAAATAAAAAAATAACTATACATGTCAATTTGCCATCTGTATTGTAATTGTAGATTAAATCACTACTATAGTATTTATATAAATAGTGAGAGACTGTCAATAAAATTGAGAAAAAATTAGAAGTAATAAGTATTAAAGTTACACTTGTTCTTTTCTCACATCTCATAATCAAAAATAAAGCTTAAATCCTTTATAATAAGGTTTCATATACTGTGTAGATAAATAGCGATTTTCTATCAAAATTTTCACAATCAAAATTTGTATGTAATGAACACTATTGGTGCTAAATTTTTGTATTTTAAAATTTATTTCCATTTTTACATTTAATTTTTTATTGTAACGCGTTTATACGTAGTTTTAGATCCAACTGTGATATGTGGTTCATTGATGAAGGAGTTGTTTCATTATCAGCACTGTTTGTATTGAAATCATTATGTATTGTAATTTTTATATAGCATTATTATATAAATGTTTAGTAATTATATATTTTTCACTATTACGTAGTTCACTATACTTTATGTATTGTAATATTGTTTTAGCTTTGAACACTAGTTAGTTTTCTTAAATACTGACTATTCATGAAACATTGTAAAGTTTAAATTATATAAAATTATATTCGTTTAAATTAATATTATTTATAAGTAATTTTAAATTTTACTTATTTATTTAGTTTACTTTAATTTAGAACAGCTTGCATGGGACAACTCTGTTCAATTTCTTATCTTATCGAGGCTCTAGCATTGTGATAGTATAACCTTTATAAATATTGCGTATAATATCCATATCGCAAATAAAACCAATAATCAATTTTACAATTTTGTTTATTTTTCCACAGCGTAATAATAGACACAAAATCGAACAGTCGTTTGAAACTTATATTTACAATTAATGACTCCATTTAAAATAATTTGATTTAAAATATAATACAGTTATATTACAAATATTCAGCAATGATTACAGTTGCTTTTTTTCGCAATAATAGTAGTAATAATTTATTATGGGCCTTGTTTATTACCTAAGTAATTTTGGAAATTTTGTGACATTTATTATAAACTTTATTATCATTCTCTAACTACCATCAAATTATTTTAAACGAAGCACGTATAGGTATTTTCGATACTTAAACGAAAATCACAGTATAATATTTTTATGTATCAAGGCACAATTGTCTTAAGAGTATAGTTACATTTTCATATTGCAATGCTATGAGGGCTAAAATTCAACAAGAGATCTCTTTACGTATAAATACTTTATAAAGTCACTATATTTTCGATACCAAATAACTAATTCACTATTAATACATCTGTATAGTGTCACTACATTATAATATAGCAATGGTACATTATAATTATTAAATACAAGTATGAAACAGTCAATAATTTTAAGCTAAGATTTGTAAAGAATTTCATCGAAAATTTATAGATAAATATTTCGTATAGCTCTTGTAAAAAACCACATTGGCCCTCTAAAAATATATTCAACTACAAAGGAATGCCTCCTTAAATTGCCGTATCTAACTTATAGCTTACAGTAAAGCTGAATCGTTTGTTTACACGTTATAATAAAATGGCAGTCTTCATTTCATTTTTACAAGGCACTATCATATACACTATTATATACAACTAAAGTTATAACCCGAATGAAGACAATATTTACATTTACCGTAAAATCGGTAACAAGCGCTTACAATCACTTTGAGCATATCCAGGGAAATACAAATAACATGCACAAAATGAAATTACAAGGAAACTATTCCGATTACATCGGTACAATAAATACTATTAAAACAATACTTATAAGGTGAACAGTCATGTTGTATGTACATATAATAAAATAGTTTATTCCAAGATATCTAGGGTGGATACCTTCTCGCATATAGAGCGTTGGAGATATTTATAAATTTACATTACACTTATTCAGGATCTACCTTAGATTACATTCTCATCGTCGAGTGAGGTTTTCTATTATTTGGCCCAGGAGGTAAGCCTGGCCCTACTAATGGTGACATCGATGGTGATCTAGTCGCTAAAGGTGAGAGTGATGGCGAAAACGACGGCGACATAGCTGCTGCAGAAAATCCAGGAACATCATGACTTATAGGTGACCTTGGTAATAAATGTTGAGGCTGTCTACATGATAGAGAAGGGGCCGGGCAGCTCCGTGGGGCAACCGTCGTTAACAAAGGCGGCGGGACACTTTTGCCTCCAGATATCGATGTCCCTTTACTTTTTGCACTTGAAGCACCACTATTTCCGCTTTGCAATGACACAGCATCGTCTTTTAATCGAGCTATTTCTGAGAAAACATGAGCTAAAGGCTGGTATTGTGGGCCCCAGTCTAATAAGTAATCCCAGTTATAACTACCTGTTAATTCTTCTTCTGAATGGACAATGGAGCTCAGGCTGCCCGTCATAGAGGGCCCAGCAGTGGGTACAGCGTTGTTATCTCCCGATGTGCTTGGGAAAGCCCCTAGTGCCATTGCTCTGTCAACAGCGGCGCTCGCTTCATCAGCACTACTAGCTCTTTCACTACCAGTTACTTCGTTTAATTTGGCATAAATCAAATTCGTTATGTCATTTTCATGAGCACTATCTTCGTCAAAAATATGCATTGAATCTATTGGGCCATGATGCATCATGTTATCTTTATTGGTTACATTTTCTGAACATCTACGGGAGGAAGTTGAGGCACCACCACCAGTACCAGTATCTACAATTCCCAATCTAGCCAAATATTCTTGCGTGTTATGAACAGAAACGTCCGATAAATTATCATCGTCGACACCGCCTGCTTGTCTGTGCATACCTGAATCTCTTTGTAATGGGCCTTCATTTATCATTCTAATTTCCTCATCTTCTCCATCTTCACCATCTTCTGCTGAACCACGCCCACTTGACCCAGATTGATCAGACCCTGAGAGTTCCGAAGTAGTTGCGGCTCCAGAGTTTGAACTGCCTGTATGTGGTCCATATGGTGGTATCTCGTCATATTTTGGAGGAGCAAACTGAGCGGTATTTACAGTACCAGTATTCCGTATTGGGATTGTATCAAATGCACTTGGATCTACATAACTATTTGTAGCTCCCATTCCTTCTGAGTTCAGTCCTGGTTTAGTGTGTACTTTCTTATGTTTATTTTTTAAATATAAGAATAAAAGTACTACCATGAAAATTATTATAATTAATATTCCTGCAATTAATAATCCTAATGCCCACGAGGAAAGACCACTGCTCTGTGCAATAGATGCATCAGTAATCATATTCGGCTGGTCAGATGCTACCGCCAAGGGATCGAGTAGTATTTCTACTGCGGTTTTATTGGTAAGTGATCCCTGCCGGCCGGAGCTTGCTGTAATAACTAAACTTATTGACTTATCTGCGCCAAACAAGTTATTAACAGATTCTACTTTCTTCTTCAATATAATAACACCTGTCGTTCTATTAATTTTGAAGTACGAGTGTGACGTTGACAATTGATACACTATGCGTCCATCTATACCCTTGTCTCTATCTGTGGCTGTCGCTTGTCCTATTACATAACCGGCTGGCAAAGAACCTACTTTTGGTACACCAAAATTGTAAGTCTTTTGAGTGAATTGAGGATAAAACTCGTCCCGACTTTCTATGTCAATTCTTACTTTAACTGTAGAGCTCTTGCCGCCCACATCCGAGGCTTTTATCGAAAACTCATATTTGTTCTTTTGTTCGTAGTCGAATACCGCGTTAGTGTTTACAAGACCAGTTGCGGAGTCTATTTGAAACATTTTCCAAGAGTCATCGTTTCTATTGTAATTTGTAGACAATGGTACTATGGAGTAATTTAGTTTTCCATATTTGCCTCTGTCAAGATCAGTGGCTCTAGCGGTGAATACCGATGTACCGACTCGTTCGTTTTCGCCTATTGTTTCGAAATATTCGCTTACAGGGAATGTAGGCACATTATCATTTTCATCAAGTATTTCTATATCAATATATACAGCATTGCATAGACAAAGGACGCCTTGATCACAAGCTACTACAATTAGCTTATATTTTGCTTTACCTAAGTCACAGTCGAGTGTTTTATTTACCGTTAAAATTCCCGTTGTGGGGTGTACGTAAAATGATTTTTCATCGTCTCCTGATGTTATATTAAAAATTATTGCAGAGTTAGGTGTTCCAAATAAATCAGCATCAGTTACAGATAGTTGGGTAACTGTATAACCAATTTTGACGTCTTCACTAATTTTTAATTCAAATTCACTTACAGAAAATATCGGAGCATTATCGTTTGCATCTGTTACTGTCACATATATCATGATAGATGTTTTGTTTTGGTTATAAGATAAAATCTTCCCTTGTTCTACGGCAGCCAATCCGAGAATGTAGGAATCTTGCGCTTCCCTATCCAATTTACTGACCAGAATTAAAGCTCCTTCATTTGTCATATCAAACGCTTCTCCATCATTGCCAGATATTATATGGAAATTTAAATTATACTTTTTTAGAACGTCGTTGATTCCACCAATTTGTAAGAGCGACGATCCCTTTTCCGTATTTTCGTTGACGGTGATTCTGTAATATATATAAATATCTATATTTAATACGCTTTTCTTTATTTTTGTACTTAATATATTGTTGTTAAATAATTTTTGTTTGAAAACTTAATTTTATTATTCCCATTTAAATTAATAAATTTTTTATAAATATAGTAACATTAATAGAACATTTATTTATAATTTTCAGCTATGCTTAAAGAACATATTAAATAATATAAAAAACATACCTATAGGTGTCTTGTCCAATGAATGGTTTTATTTCGGAAGATGCCCCAGTACTAATTCTTACAGATGCGACAGCACTTCTATTTGGTTTTCCATGATCTGTGGCAATTACGGCCAATTGTATATCACTCTGATGCGACGGCAAAGCACTATAATTCACATACAAAACTCCAGAATTTGCATCAACATAGTATCCGGGAACTGGTTCGAGAATAGAATAAGATATCTTCCCGTTATCATCGGTGTCGATATCTTTTGCACTGACAGATCCTATTTCCATAGTTCCGCTGCCTTCTGGAATAGGGGAGTAATATGGTTACAACATATAAAAGTACATATTTTATTTTAAAATATTTTAAATAAATGACTATATAGAAGTATTTCATTTTATTTTAAATTGTACACTATAATAAATTTAAAGTAATAAAACAATTTGTATGGATGTTTTCGCGTTTTGTTTTAATTTTCATAACATGGTCACGGGAGACTCCTCGAAACGTCAGATCTTAAGAATATCAATATAAACGTGAAAAACTCTGTAAAATAATTTTATTACAATGTCAATTTATATCCGCACAGTCCTAAAAAAGTATTAATTTGTATATATGTATTAATAATATTTATTGTAAAATTATAGAACCTAAATAAGGGTTTTATTTAAAATTATAGATTTTATATCTATAATAAATAAATAATAAATAAATAAATATTCTGGAACATTAATACACAGCACCATCTAGTTCCATTCTAACCTACGGGGCTTGTGTTATGGATACCAGATAGTTGATACACTACACATATATAACTTTTAAATACATACATATTATAAATATAAACATCCGTGACTGAGTACAAACATTCGTGCTCAACACACAAATGAAAGCCCCCAGCGGGATTCGAACCCGCGACTGCTGGCACAGCAAGTAGGGTCACTACAAACTGTGCCAAACGCGTCGGTTTGTTTTACATCTATATCTATCTTTCATCTTTAATATATTATTAAAGTGTTCGTTCATTTTAGGTATATTGTTATTTTTTTCAAAATTAGGTACATTTCATGTAATTTATATACGTTATTCTTATTGTGTATCTTAGTAAATATTACTTTATATTCATAAAATATGTATAATATTATATGCACTGTTTAAATAAGTCATTTTTATTTTCTACAACATAGGTACATACATACATACAATAAAATAAGTCCTAAATAAAGTTTTAAGAAAGTATTTTAATATATTTTAGTATCTTTAAAATGAATATGCAAATATGTAGTAATAAACACTTATGCTATTCTTGTGAACAAGCCCTAGGGCTAGGCTTCATTATTTTTATGTATAAACTCGTATTTACTTACCAGGTAATACGCTGTTATAGGATATTTCATCAAACATAGGCGTATTATCGTTAACGTCAGTCACTTTTATAGTTAATGTAGTTTGTGCGACGTGCTCACTATCTGAAGCGCTTATATTTACTTGATAGACCTTTTTGTTTTCGTAATCCAGTAGCTTGTTTAGTACTATCTTTCCACTATATCTGTCTATTGAAAATGTATTATCTCCTTGAACAATCGCATATTTCAGCGCTGGATACGTGTCAACATCATTTGCAGTAACAGATGTAAGCACCGAGCCGACTTCCGCTCCTGTAAAAGGTTAAAATACAAATAAAAAACACTATACACGCAGACGCTACTCTCGTTTGACTGCGACTTTAAGGATTCGTAAAATAAAATTCTCTAAAACAAAACCCGGCCGCAGTACAATGATATAAAAACAAAGAAACAAAAAGAGAGCGCGGACCGTTGGTCGGGGAGGCACCAGTAAAACATGCACTCGAAAAAAATGTAATACCATCCAATAAATATTGATCCTAAAGGAGTCTCTTTTATTTAATCTCGACTTTGGGATCGAAAAGTCGCAATGTAAGCCAGCCGCGGACTCGAGAATACAAATTATGTAAAATGCCTCCCTCTTTGTAAAACGCTTTTTGTAGTACCAATTTATATCGAAAAGTCGATAGGCTGGCCTACAGCAATTTAAAAACGAATATGTAAGTAGGTGAAAAAAGTTGAAAATATACCTTCCGATACAGAAATGACATTCGGCGGTGGGAATGTCGGTTGATTGTCATTGATGTCAACTATATTAATTCTTAGGGTGGCTGTTCCGGTCATTTGAGGATTGCCTTCATCAGTTGCTATTACTGTCAGCTTATACGTTTCACGTATTTCACGATCTAATACTATGTTGGTTTTTACTGAGCCAGAAAAAGCAGGTTCTATGATAAATGCATTATCGTGATTTCCATCGACAATATGGTATAAGATTCTTGCATTCACTCCTCGGTCTCCATCTTTAGCCGCTAATTGTACGACAAACTCGCCTTTTGTATTACCTTCAAGAACATTTGCGGTGTATAGCTGCTGAGTGAATCTAGGAGCATGATCATTTTGATCTATAAGATTTATTATAACTTTGCAATATCCATATAATATTGAAGCACCTTCTGTCCGAGCTACAACAATTAATTCTCTATTCGGACCTGGATATGATTCGTAATCCAAATTTAATGAATTATTGACTTTTATGACTCCTGTGTTAGAATCTATTTCGAAAGCATATTGATCATTTCCATTACCAATCTCGTAGATTATCTTTTGTCGTCGCCCGTCGCTTCTGAGTGCGGTTACTTGTATAACATCTTTACCATAAGCTAAATTTTCCTCTATAGATACGTTATAAGTTGAATTTTGAAAACTCAAAGCAGGCGTTTGATCGGAAAAGTCACCAACGCGTATTTCAATAAGTCCTATGGAGCTTTGCGGGGGACTACCTTTATCTTTAGCTATAACTTTAAGGTGTATTAGTTTACCATTTTCACTAGCCAAACTCTGTGTAGCAGTGAGGACTCCTGTAGTTGGATTTATGCGAAATTTATGATTTGAAGTGTCTAAAAGTTCAAAAAGTATTTCGGAGTTAATTCCAATATCATTATCAGTAGCAGACACTCGTAGTAAACTTTGTCCAGGAGGAGTTAAAGTCGCCACTTGCTCTTTAAAAGGGTATTTGGTAAATATTGGCTTATTATCATTTACGTCATTTATTGTAACTTCAACTGAAACTCGTTGAGAGCGTGCGATGTAACGTCCCTGATCCGTAGCAACAGCCTCAAAACGGTAACTACTAGTTGTTTCTCGATCAAAATACCTGGAAGAGAGCATAATTAGTAATAATAGTTCAAATTGAAATAATTATGTTACATTGATAATGAATATTTATGTATATAAAGGTGTTTAAATAATATTATAAAACTTACCCAGTTGTAAAAATAATGCCAGTTTTGTTGTCTATTCTAAATAGGCCTTGACTTTCATTCGCTAAAGAATAGACAATACGCTTGTTATACCCTAAATCTGCATCTGTTGCTCTTACTTTGATAATTGACGTATCAATAAGTGCATCCTCAGGAATGGCAGCAGAGTAATGTCCGGTATCAAAAACTGGATCATTATCATTCTGGTCTTCTACCATTATGGTCAAGTTACATGAGCCTTGTAACGCTACTGGTGAACCATGATCATAAGCAGATATCGTTAAATCATATCTGAATTGAGTTTCTCTGTCTAAAGTTTTTGCCGTAAGCTTTCCAGTTGTAGCATCAATTGAGAATTTATTCCCGTTATTTCCCGATGTTATACTGTAGGTAATTATTCCATTGGCACCTATATCTTTATCTGTAGCAGTAACAGTATGTATTACTTCAGGTTCATTATTTTCCGGTACTGTCAACGTATAGCAAGAGCCTGGTTTAAAAGTTGGTGAATTGTCATTATCATCTAATACACTTATATAAACGGTAGCTACATCAAAATTTGTGGTAGACTGAAATGTGCTTGAATCAGTAACGTACACTGGAAATATGTATTGTTCTGCTTCCTCTCTGTCTATTTTAGTTTTAACAGTAACTGTACCTAGGCGTTCATCAATGGTAAATTTGTCACTTGCTACTCCTGATGGTATCATAAAGCTCAAGTTACCTAAAAATATTGCATATGATTATATATTTGAATGGAAATTCATTATAAATATTTTAAAATATACATATGTATACTATTATATTTGATACATACCTGAATTTCCTCTGGATGATTTAGCCGATAATCTCGTCACAAAACTGCCTGGTCGAATATCTTCGCTTATATTCGCTCTATAGTAAGATTCCGTAAACCTCGGTGGAACGTTAGTGGATTCTTGTAAATTTAGCAGTAATGTCATATGACTTTGTCTGGGAAAAGGTATGCCATGGTCTGAAGCAGTTAAGTTTAACTTATATTGTCCAGGTCGCACCCTTGCAACGTCTGACGAAAATTTCTTCATTAAAGTCAATTTACCCGTATCGTATTCCATTGAGAAATATGCGTGATCATTACCATCTGAGATAAAGTAAGAAATTCTACCATTTTCTCCAGAGTCCGTATCAACAGCTAAAGCTTGGTACAAAATGCCAGATAAAGTATTTAATGTTACAGAAACTTTATCAGCAGATACAAATAATGGTGTGTTATCATTAGCATCTATTACAGATATATGTACCGTTGCAGATGTAGCCATTCTCTCTGAAATATTTGCCGCAAGATCAACAGCATTAAGAACTAACCAATATTCTCTTAAGTCTTCAAAATCAAGAGGAGAGTTAAGAGTTAAAGCGCCAGTGAGAGGGTCTAAATTAAAAACTTGTCTTTCACGAGGAAAAGATGACAGTATATGATAGTTTAGTTCTCCATTAGGCCCTGCATCGGCATCTCTTGCAGTGAAATTATAAATAATTGTTCCTACAGTTGTAATTTCTGAGACCTCGATATTTATTGGATCTATAGTCCATTGTGGTGCGTTATCATTAACGTCTACTATTTCAATCCGTACTGTAACTGCACTACTTTGTGGGTTATTAGTGGCGGATGTATCTAAAGCTCTAACTTCCAACCGGTATTCGTCTTGAATTTCTCTGTCTAATTGCCTTGCAACTACTAAGGAACCCGTCCTTCTATCTATTTCAAAAGTTCCAGGTGAGTAATCTGATGTAAGTGACATGAGTAAGTATGATATTTGCCTCTCTTCGTCGCCGTTTATTGAGTTATCTTGCAGTTCATTATCACAGCACGTGATAGCACCAACAACATATCCTATTTGAGCGTTTTCTTTTACCTAAAAACAATCAATATTGTAATATCAATACTCATTATCTGTATTATAATAGGAATTATAAGTCACAACAAGCACTAGTCAATATGCTAACTCTTTATGAACAATACTAATAGTTCAAAATTATATTTTTTTTAACAAATCAAGACAAACCTTAAACGATAAGCTAGAACTTGTAAAAGTCGGCCGGTTATCATTTAGATCAAGAACTTCTACTTTTAATTGTCTGACAGATTGTTTTGGTGGCTGGCCTCCATCTGTTGCTGCTACTGTTAAGCGGTATATTGATCTTTCTTCATGGTCCAAAACTGTAATTATTTAAATTCCATTAATTTGTTTAATGTTTTACTAATATGCATACGAGTTTATCGTCATTATAAAATTATAGTTGAATAGCGTAATTTTGTTACTTCACCTGTACTTGTCTTTATAACTCCAGTGTTTGAATCAATAACAAAAACACCAAATCCGTCCATATCCCTTTCATTTAGAATGGAATATTTGACAGATGCGTTGACACCATTATCTCTATCTATAGCTTTGACTCTTGCTACTTCTGCACCAGGTTGCTGCTCTTCTCTGACACTAACTACATCTTCTCTAGGATCAATTATTTCAGGAGAATTATCGTTAACATCTGTCACTTTAATTGAAATTGGCACTCTGCTTGACCTAGGCAATGAACCTTGATCTCTTGCTTCCGCAAATAAAGAATAAGAATTTTTAAACTCTCTATCTAGAACTTCTTTAGTAATTATAATACCTGTAACAAAATACAAATAATTAAAGCGGTTGATTTAGTATCAACTTTATATCCCCCCCCCCCCCCAACGTGCGTTCACCTTGTCGTGGTGGGGGGCTCAGTAGTGCCCGGCAATCCAACCGGGCGCGAAGCTAAGAAACGCACTGGGAGGTAGCCCACTTCGGTGGGCGGTGGGAGGTGGCCCTCTTCGGGGGGCGGTGTACCATGCGGGTTGCTCCTGGTACTTCTCTGATAGCAGAGTGGACTGTGGAGCAACCCCATGGTTGTGGTGGTCTGCTTCGGCAGACCTGCCGTCGGGGCGTCGTAGCTGAATGCGTAAGCGATCCTGCGACGCCCCATTAAGACGGGGGAAGGTTTTGTTGGGTTTTAGTGGGTAGTACTGGCTGTATTACGCCGGTGAGTCCCACACGTCGTGCGTAAATGCATTTCCCAACGTTAAAAAAAAAAAGTATCGACTTTATATAAAACTTAGTTTCAGAGCTTAGTAAATTTAAATTGAAAATAGTTATATTTTATAATGCTAATTACTTCCAATTATTCGGTATAACTTGGACATGAGTAAATAAAAAAGATATTTCGATACCAAAGACTATGATTACGGATAATCATATACTCCATATTCGGAACCTAAAAATTGTCATGACATAAAGTTGGAAGAACGATAAATGTGGTTTTATAAAATGCACGCATAGTAAATCAATCTTTATTCCAATTGAACTTAAGCACGCATTCCAGTTGACGGACGGAATCTGAAGAGATAATAAGATGTGGCAGAGACCGTCGTAATGAGCAATGTGATGCGGATTCTAGAAAAAAAAAGATATTTTCCTGTGTAAACAGCGACTGGCTTTCGTTTCAATGTTGTTAAAGTAAGAATGCATTTTATACATGACTGCAAATATTTATCGTTGAATGTAAACTGAGAATATTCCTACCAATTCTGTTCACAAATATAATAATATGTTTAGTTACAAAAATGGCGTCATCATATTGTATATTAATATATATATATATATATATATATATTTGCAATAGCAGAATCTCTAATAATAACAATAACGTATAGTTACTTGTATCAAACGCAATGACACTTCACACCGTAATTCATTTGAGAGCAGGTGAAAATAAAAGGTATCCGTCAACCAAACGAGTTGTACGCCGGCACACGTATATTCGTAACATACGAGCATTAAATACTCGACGACAGTATCTGGCCGGTGAGACTTGTAATAAAACATGGGAGAGAATAGCGAGGCTGCTACAAAGCAATATTTTAATAATAGTTAATGGTAGGTCACGGCAAATGCGCCTGAGACGACGTTTATAACTTGCTATTGACGCGCATTAATTCATCTTAGCTGCCCGTAATGAATATTTGTGCTTAAAATGTAACTTAGACTTATTATTCCAATAAATTCTGCGATTTATGTTTACTATGTAACAAACATAGCTAAGAGAAAATCTTTTATGTATATGAAAGTCAGGTATGTATGTGCATTAGATATGTAATGGAGACAGGCATAACATTTGTTCTGTTTTAGTAAAAATAATAAAGTCATAAAATGTTATATTTTGAAGTTATACTTCTTTTGGCACGCTTGGAAAAAATTATGACGGTAAAATTTTACGATGCGCGCGCACACCGACAGCCAAAAAGTGACATGATGAAGTTAGCTGCATTCCTTTTACAAACAGAGAGTTGTGACATACGGGATGAAATCTTTAGCTATTTTTGTTCTGTTACGCCAAAGAAGTATAACTTCTTACGTGCGTACATAAGTACACAATACACGTTTTTTTTTTATATTTATAGATTATAATAAAAATACAAAAGCACTACAATCGTATAAAAATATTACTTTTTATTTTTAAAATAATATTTGATAGCGAAATTAACAAATTAATTATAATATCACCCAACAGCTATGTATGTATGTATATATTATGAATTCGAAAACGAACTCAATTCATTCAAAAAGTATCCAATTTTCAATAATTGACGTTAAAAGTTCATCCAAATATATTTAATTCCATCAAATACTCTTTGAAGCGCCGACGAATAAAAAAGTATGGCTATGGATATACGAGGTTAAGTGCCTACCGAAAAAGCACCTGTTGAAATCTGAATTCCCTATCAGCTGTACAGACCGCATACAGTTGTCATTGCGAATGATTTACTGATTCACTTGGTTTAAGATGCGCTAACTAGCTCGCGGGGTGTTGATCTCTGATAAGCCAAATTGAGATGGAATGCTCCACCATTGATCAGTCAGTTAGGCGATAACGACTACCCATTTTTATTGGCCCACATCGATATTCAGATTAAAATCATTAACTGGTCACGAAACATGAGTCTACTACAATTATGTAACCCTCAGGCTTTCAATTCACATGGTTGCCTATATTGGATTATTTAATTGGTGTTAACATTGTATTGAATATTTATGGAAATTGATGGTTTACAGCCTTTTAAGTATGCAAGCGGATCTGTCATGTGACTACGTCTGATTGAATGTCAGTATAATGTAAAAAGCCACGCTATTGCTAGGTCTAAATATAATATAATAGCTTGTACATAAATATTTAACATTAAAAATAAATCTATTTCTTATTTTTTCGCGGTTTTATCTTACTTTTTATTCCCGACGCGACGTTTCGAAGAAATATTCGACAAAATCCGAAAAAATAATCTTACTCAGAAATATTTTAATATAAATTTGGTAAGTAAGTTGAGCTGGGGACAACGGACTTTTATTTTATAAATCGATATTCATGAGAAGAAAGATAAATAAACTTCAAGCTGCTCCCTATTTCTTTAAATTGTGCAGGTATTAATGCGGTTTTGTTTATCCAAGTAAATTTGTTTAGTCGATGTGTCTTAAGTCAAAACATACTTTGGGTTTTAACTTTCAAAGGCACCGGCTAGTTAAACAGAGTTGAGTGGTTGGCGGCAGGGATAATTCTTAGGCTCACCAAATAGTAGTGAGGGCCCATTCGCTTGGAATTACGGTAAATTGCATTGTTTTTGGTCACTTAAACGTTGTCAAACGAATTGTTCCGCCTTAATTAGTGATGAAATTTAATATTGATTTATATTTTTTGTTTTAATTCTTAAATTTTCAATCATAGACAACAATAATTTTTATATTTTTTTATTAAATAACTTTATCTTTGTTGCAATAATTTAAAAAGTACACGCGTAACAAACTATGACAGTCTGTTTATAATTAAAAAAAATATTTATTCTTACCTGTGCTCGGATTAACGACAAAGCTTGTATTCGACGGGAACAAGCTATATCTAACAATAGCATTATCTCCCAAATCTGCATCAGATGCTGCGATTTTCCCAACAAACGCACCAGCTTTTTGATTCTCTTCAACCTGAAACTCATAGGCTATTTGCGAGAAAAATGGATCATTATCATTAGCATCTACTACATTGACAATAAGACTAGCAGTCGCTGACATCGGCGGAATACCATTGTCTGTAGCTATTATTGTCATTTTGTGTTTAGATATCGTCTCTCTATCGAGAGGCTTAGCGAGATACACCCAGCCAGTGGTCGGTTGAACTTTAAAATGCTCTTCGTTTGTATTATTCTCTGATACGACGCGATAGGTTATGCGCGCATTGTTACCGGTGTCCTTGTCTATTGCTTGAATTTCTAAAATCTGGAAGAGAAATTTTCTGTTTAAATTCCGTTTGTTTATGCTTTGTAACAAGCGTTTCAGAAAATATGATGTAATTTATGTATTACCATTACGAAAACAAGCCAATTTTACCGGAAAATATTCATGTCAATGTAATGAATATATTTTATTTAAGAAACTGGTTTTATTTGGTAAATTCGCAAATCATTACCAATTAGTTTTGGCGTGAGAATAAAAAATATAATAGTGATAAGCGAATATCAGCGTTTCGAGCGGTAATACGATAATTGCAAGAACATTTTTGCTTAATTACGTTTGTTCGAGGAAAATTCTAATCTTAATATTCCTAAAGCTTTTTATTTTTTAAATTCCCAAAGTAAATCTTTTGCGTGAATAATTTGTTTTGACAATTCTTAGTATTTTATTAATTGAATTAACAAATTCACTTTTTATGATTTATATATTTCTGTTTTCTTTTAACTTTAAAATAAATATATTATATTGTACAATTTTAATCAATAATGATAAATGTAATCTTTTTTAACAAATTTTATATGCGTTCACATCTTATTTAACATAATTTTAACCATATGTATGGGTAAAAAATAAAAGATTAACAAATTATTGTAATTTTAGCTAATTTATATGGTTCACTTACTTTTGTTTTAACAGCATCAGATTCCAAAACATTGGCGCTATAAGTATCGTGCTCAAAAACTGGTGCATTATCATTAACATCTTGTACATCAACGGCTAGAGTGAGATTAGCGCTCAATTGTGGGTTTCCATTATCTTTTGCCGAAATAATCAAGGTATGTCGAACTAAATTTTCATAGTCCAAGGGTCTGAAGCAAAAAATATCAAATGTTATTTATAATATAATATTTAATATATATATATACGTATATGTATATATATATATATATATATATATATATATATATATATATATATACGTAGTTATATATATTACTCATTATATTACCATAATAATTTAATCTAAACATTATTTTCTAATATATTTGTTATTTTAATATATTTATTATAATATATAGTTATATTTATGTACATATAGTATGTATGTATATATTTATGTATATTTTTGTGATATATAAGTACTTCAAATAATTACCTCAATAAAGTAACTAAGCCATGTTGAGAATTAACTGCGAAAGTGTTAGGTGGCCCAGTAGCAGATACCAAGTGGTAGGTTATCTGGCCATTTTTCCCATCATCTTGATCTGTAGCTCTCGCTGCATACACAACTGATCCTATCGCAGCAGATTCTGCTACAGACACACGTACTGAAGATGTACCGAATTCTGGAGCGTTATCGTTTATATCCTCTAATGTTATTTGGACCTGGATAAAATTAAACATTATATACTAAACTATAAAGTCAGTACAAATAAGATAACACAAACAGTATGTATGTGCATGAATAAAAATTCTATATAGAATTAGACACTCAAACAAAACCAATAAAAATAATAACAATTTTTTTTGTACGGGTCATTTAAGAATAATATTATTAAAATATAACTATGCTTAAGTTGAAATATTATTTAAATTAAAGTCATAGTATATAATAAACCATAACATACATATTCATGGAATTATGATTTGTTCAATTCACGTGTAAAAGATTGTTGGAAATTATCTGAGGATATTGATTTTTTTACATCAATTATAAACGAATATTGGCAATAAAATATCTAATACTTGATTATATTAAATAAAATATAAAAAACATAAATAACCCGTAAAAATTCTGGGTTTTTTTGCAATTAAATTTTTCATTTAAATATTGTTTTTTGCTATTGTTCTTCCTATAACGAAGATGTACTAAAGAAGGATTTTATTATCTAAAAAGGCTAAATTGGTGTTGTACAAAAGTAAATATAGATAACCCTAATTGTAATAATACTAATCCCATTAATATTATAAATACGAAAGTTTTGTTGGATGTTTGTTAATCAATCACGCCAGAAGCCTAAACGGATCTGGATGAAAAAATAGATTAGTTTTATCCCGGAGAAATCTACGGATCCTGTGGGATAGATTTGTTTTTGTTTCACACCTGAAACGAACCCAAGCGAAGCGGTTGTGAGTCGCTAGTGACCTATAAATAAGGAAGTTAAAAATATTTTGGCAATAACCCACCTGAGTCTGATCAAAGCTAGCAGGATTGCCAGTTGAAGCTTTGACGTTCAATAAGTAGGAAGCAGTGGTTTCTCGGTCGAGCTTTCCTGAAGTTCTTATGGTCCCGGTATGGGGTTCCACGGTGAAGACGTTATCTACATCCCCAGAAATAATGCTGTACCGGACTAATTGTTTACCTGTAAACAAGAAAATTTATGATATCATAAAAATATTTTTTTTAAGGATAGCACGAAAGATAGGTTTCTGGTGTATATAAATAATTTTGAAACTTGTACGTGAGGTTACTCTATCTTGTGTTTAGACAACAACTCGCATTTGGCCGAAATTTTGAAACATTGAGACTTCGTTATTACATTTTAATATATAATTCAATATATAAAGGAAATAAAATTTTAACATGACTTATAATATATATAGAATATTATACTTATGTAAGTATAGATTTGGTTTCATTACAATCGTTACTTGTAAATAAAGTATATGCTTTCGTATAAATAATAAGTCATGTACGCTATCAGAAGCAAAATTCTTGAAATATTCGCCATCGTTTATTTCATAGTCAAAAAACGCATACAAACCCACAGAAATAGTTAAATTAGATGTATAATATATTATAATACAATAAATGTACTTAATTTTTCTACAGAAAAACACCCTTGGAATAAAAGTTAAGATATTGTTAAGATATTTAATAAAATATATAATTTGATTATTCACGAAAGCTTTGTATAGTGGAAAGCTCACTAGAAAAGTTCCATTATACAATGATAGTATCACAGAAAGCAATTCTATGCACGACAGCATCCAACTATCAAACACTTAAATGTGCAACTTACAAGCTAAAATCAGGTGATTCAACAGCGCCCCTTTATACGACTGAGATACATATTTATTAAATAATAAATATATCTTTGTTTTTTTCTCTAAAAGTTCTCGAGTGCTTGGTATTAGTATTATTTTTAATGAATTTTATTAATTTTTGATTTGATTTTATCTTAATAACATATGTATTAAATGAGAAAGTGTGTTTGTTTATTTTTGAAATTTTCTATTTTGCGCAGCATCGATGGGATTTTTGCGTACAAATATTATATAGGCCATAGAAATTATATAGAAAAGGTTATTAAAGAAACCAGATCAGCAGCAATTCAGTCCTTACATAGGTATATACGGTTATCAAAAATCTAAACATGTTACCCACATGGTCATAAAAACTTGGTTTAGCGGCTTTATTGAACAGACAGACAGATAGGCAGACATACTTTCTTTCATATTAATTAATGATATTAATAAAATATATTTTATAAATTTCTCAGCAACACAGAGTATTATAAAAAATAGTTTATGTTCAATTTTAATCGTGAGATGTATGAAGAAATCGATGCATTCAACAAACTGTTGGTATGCGGCTTCAATGCTGTACATGGTTTTAGGAAGACGCTAAAAATTTCATCCATGTACTTAATTAGGCTGTAGGTGCTAAACTCAAAACAATGGGCGATTTACGACCGTTTAAAGTTCATGTAATTGAGAAAAAAGAATATAATGTCAAATGAAACTTGTATATATGAGAACGTTAAAGTTAGTAATGTTTGTTGCTTAATCATGACACAATCGATGGCTGTTATAATAGATATTGTATTTAGTAATATCTTGGATATATACGGTTAATTTCATAATCCACACGTTTGGCTGCGTTTGTAGTGATCCTACTTGCTGTGCCAACGGTCGCGGGTTCGAGTCCCGTTGGAGGCATTCATTTGTGTGATGAGCACAAAGGTTTGTACTGCAGTCATGGGTGTTTGTATCTATAATATGTATGTATTTAAAGTTATACATATATGTAGCGTATCAACTATCTGGTATCTATAACACAAATCTCGTAGCTTACGATGGAACTAGATGCTACTGTGCGTTAATGTCTCAACAAATTTATTTATTATTATTATTCATGCCACTCACATGCTATGCAAAAATAACGTAGCAAATATAAATATTCATGTTATCACGACATTCTTTCTGTCTGGCATGGTCTTGTCTTCACTTTTCGTAGGTTTTATGATATTTTTGTTACAGTTTACTTACGCGATAATATAAATTCGCATAAACCAATAGCAATATTTACTTCATGCGGATTCGAACCAGTATCCTTCAAGATAAGCTATATTGCCAGTAAATATGAGTATAATTAGATTATTAATCGCCTAAAGGAACGCACTCTTTTCCCTACATTAAATAAAATAGACTGCACCGTTATTTACGACGAGCATAAATATTTATGAAAACGTATCACTTTACTTTCAACATCGAATTGTCTATATAATCCTAAGAAGATATGTTTACGACTTCTTTAAGTCATCGGAGCAATGTAGATAAATTATTTCATGCCAACATTTCTAGGGATGTTAGTATGAAGAAAATATAATATTTATAATAGTTGTTACTTTTTAAATAAAACTATCTTTTCGGATTTTTTCCCAGATTTATTTGGATTTTTGGTTCCTGACGTTTCGAATGCTTTACAGCAATCATGGTCACAGGAGAGTCAAAATTCGCGTCAAAAAAAAAAAAAAGATGTCAAATATTCGCGGAAATCTAAGAAAGTTGTTATTTTATTCCATTCTCAATAAATAAACAATGTAAATTCATTTTAATGATTCTCATTTATTTTGTATTTAAAGGGTCGTGTATCAATCAATCTTTTATTTCAGGATAAACATAAATAAACTTTTAAGGGCCAAATGTCGAAATCCACCGATTTAATACTCGCAAATCTATTTACAGAAGCCAAAATAAGAGTCAGCCGAAAACCGCTTTATATCTATCAAATTTTAATTGGCACTTCTCACAGTGTAAGCGATTCAATGTCGTATATTTTTTTCCGCTGGCTCTTTTTGCGGGTGCGTTTTTTCGTCGGTCGTTTTTGGCAGGACAGTTGACGCAATGAGATTGATATACGGTCTTATTCGGCGACGTGCCGGGCAGTCTTTGTTTCTGTAACAGGTCCGCGAGCCCCCCCTGCGGCACTCCACCGTCCTCCCTTTGTGCCTTCCCTCTTTATACAGTCTGTGATGCGATTGTCTTATTTTTGAACATTTTACGGCCCGACTTTTATGTTATGTTTGTTTTTGAATTCACAATTTTCGACATTCGTGGGGGTTTCAATAGGTTTCCAGACTATTAATATATAAAATTAAAATATGCGCTTATACGATCTCATTGTTGGGGCAAACCTGTATTTTTGGATGGGAAAATGACGTCAGATTTATGTTCTTTGAATTGAAAATTAAATATTGGTGATGTTTTAAACTATGCTAATTTCGAGTTCGAGCAACGAAATATGATATCTAATCAAAGTAACAGCACATAATGAAAATTTTATCATTTATTTCCGATGATGTTTTAAGAAGATGCTACAAGTAAAAAAATCGGGATGGGTCGAAGTGTGTTTAACCTTTTGTCTGAATCCTGATTCAATTCATTAGTCAAATTTAACCAGTGGTATACTTGTCCTGTTTCAAAATATATTCACAAATGCCATTCTAAACTGAAATCATTAATGGCTCCGCGATTATCTCGCTCACGAGACTCCATTTGGCTTCAATTAAGTGTTGTAAAGATCTTCTATGCGAATTATTCGATTCTCGATTTGAGTTTAATGAATTAATTATCTGAAAGTTCGATTATCTCTAAAGGGCATTGGGATCGTCGAGAAAGCTTGCCTCATTTCTGGCGCTTATCGAAGATCTATGGAGCTTTAAAAATAAATATTATAATTGAAAAATACAGTGGTTGGGTGTTTAATTGTTTTCTTTAATATGTTAATGTAAAATAGTATGAATAAAATATATTCCTATAAAATTAATAAATACAATAAGATTATAATAAACGCTAAAATTTCTTATCTTATCTGTTAAAAACTGGGCCATTGTGTTAGAATTTAGATAGCGATTACATTCCGTCATGGACTTCAACACTTAACCGGTAAAATTTTTAACACATAAATCCTGTAAACAATTTCAGTTCCAGTCCGCCCAAATAGCGTTGAGTAAAAAGTTGAAAATAATTGTAGTGGTGTCCAAAAAGAAGTATAGAAAGTCTTAAGCAAAAACTGTCGTGGAGGGTTCGGTTTGTTGACCTCGAAGTCAGGGAATTTATTCGGTTGTTCGCGCATTCGACTCCAGCCGTAACCTTGGATTTCTCGAGATTGAATTTCAAATTTTCAGTTGTGTCACCTTGCAAGAAAGCGTGAACTATATCTCGATTTTTTATAGGTTAAAAACTTTTGGTGGTTACCGGCTTATATAGATGATATGATAGATCAAATTGGTTTGATATTAATTATGATTCACTTATTTCTTGTAATGAATTAGTAGACTGGGAAGTCCTAAATGGTATATATTGCTATATATTTTTGGATATTGATACATAAATATTGATATATAAGTCCGTGTAATAAATAATAATAAATATGTTGGAAGATTAACACACAGCACCGTCTAGTTCCATGGTAAGCTACGAGGCTTGTATTATGGATAGTTGATACACTACACATATATACCTTTAAATACATACATATTATAAATATAAACCCATGACTGGAGTAAATACATTCGTTCTCTTCACACAAATTAACCCCAGCGGGACTTGAACTCGCGACCGCTGGTTCAGCAAATAGGGTCATTACAAACTGAGCCAAATGTGTTATCAACTCCATGTGAAAATGATTTTTTTATATTTATTAAAAAACCATAACTTGTCTATTCTAATATAACATAATAAAAAGGTAAAGTTTGTGAATTGTGAGTTTGTGACGTTGTGGGGGGTAATCTCTGGATCTCCTGAACCGATTTAGATGAAATTTGCTAAGAAGATAGTTTGAGACTCTGGAAAGGACATCGAATACTTTTTATCATGGAAATCATCCCTTAAGGGGGTGAAAATGGGTATGAAAGTTTGTATGGGGACTCAACCTAGTTTCCTATATATATAGGATTTATAATTTTTAAGTGTAATACAATACCATACTACCATTATATTTTTTATGTATATATTCTAATTCTTTACATATTATCTACGGGCGGTTTGATCCGCACGGTAACCCGATATAAAAGGTAGCTCATGTTCCCATGATCTATCCACATATTACCTGCTCATCAAAATCTGTTTAAACGGT